CCCCCCCTCCCCACACACACACACACATCCTTTGGACGAATCTCCACTTGGTGATCAGCCCCCAGCGGATCCTAAAATCCATCTTAGCCATTGTCAAATAGTTTTCCACGTTGACCATGTTCCTTGCTCCCTTTTTCGCGTGGCATACCGTCCCACATGGCAAAAAATCTTCAATATGAAAACTTTAAACGAATTGAGGCGCTGGCCACATGGCTTTTCGTCTTCTAGAAGGTCTGGCTGCATGCCCCTAGAAGCACCAGGATTCCGTTCCTGATTCGACATGTAGCCAACTGCCAGCCAACTAGGAAAGGTAGTCTATGTTCCAATTTGTTGCAGGGTTAACTCTAATGGTCATTGCACATTCCTCCTACCGACAGCGCGTGAAATGGAGGTGTTCATCTCGATTCGGTGTAGCTCATCTACCGATTCAGCTCGCAGATCTCTGGACAAGGGCCTTTTCTCTCCAGTTTAAAGGCAACCGGAATTCTCGAGTTCTCGGAAATGTGTACTCATCCCTCTCTATCTATCTCTCACTCTCTATCTCTATCTCCATCTCCATTCAAGACTGTGGACACCATCATAGATTGTGGATTATAAGATCTCTTCTCCAAACCCCAGACCGTAACGACCTCCACTTGAAGTCTTTTCGTGTGGAGTTGGCTAGACCAGTTCCTCTTGCCTCCCCATCGGTACTATGACTTCATCAAGTCGTTCCACTGGGAAGAGACTGCCCATTAGCTGTCAAGCATGCCGTACAAGGAAAATCCGCTGCTCCCGAGACGGCCGTCCGTGCCAGACATGTGTCCGAAGAGGGTTAGGAGCGGAAGACTGTGTCTACTTGGGCCAGCCTCGGCTATCCTCTGAGAATACAGTGACGGCGGACGCGACTTTGCAAAAGGAGCTCCTGGCGCGCATCCGCAATCTTGAAGATACGCTGCACAAGCAGGCCGCCAGTTCATATATGAGTGATTCCCTTTCACCACAAATGTCGCCTAGTGTGGCCGGGAGCTTCTCGGAACCGGACAGTTCTATCGGCATCAGCCAACCTGACGTCAGAAGCCCGTTCTTGGGCAACTTTGGCACCCTTCAGACATTTTCTTCGGGATATGTCCGTTATCTTCCGCTGGCATCTCAGTGGGGTTCGGTGACTGGAAGTGCAGTGCATGACGTCGATGCCGACATCCCAGAGGAAGGCGATGATTTACAGATTCCCTTTGCCAGGAACAACATTTCCAGAGAGGAATTACTGGCAGTGCTTCCTCCGGGCCGATATTGCGACGCACTAAAAGATGTCTACTTCCGAGTATTCTCTCCAGTAGGTCCCGCCCTATCCCATCTCCCGTCCGGACTTATCTGTTAGCGAGGTTCTAACTAATTCGAATCAGATGTTCCATATTCTGCATGATTTGACGTTCGAAGCTGAGTATCAGCGATTCTGTCACGACCCAAGCAGTGTAAGCACGGCATGGATTGCCCTCTTGTTTATTATTTTGGGGATTGCAGTCACCGCCCTTGATGACGATGATCCACTGCTATCCGACCTGGGCCGTGAAAAAACAGTCAGCCGCAACATCAAAGTCCTATCATCGCGCTATCGCTCGGCAGCGCTGCGATGCTTGGCAGCTGATGGCGTGTTTTCTCGCCACTCCATCAACTCTCTCCAGTGCCTCGTCCTCGTTAACTACGCAAGGATCCACCGTGGACTACCTACGTGGACCTTGTTGGGCTTTACGCATCATGTAGCAATCTCAATGGGGTGCCATGTTGACCCGGAACGATTTGGCCTGGGGCCCATCGAGCGCGAGGAGCGTAGGCGTGCCTGGACGGGTCTCATGATCCTCTATATTAACCAGAACAACACATTTGGCGGTCCGGATCAGAGATTACATTCTCAGGATGTCAAGTTCCCTTTGGAGATCAATGACGTGGACTTGCTCACAGGAGGGGCATCAGAGCCCACAATGCATCCTACTCAAACAACCTACCTCTTGCTAGAGTACCAGCTATCCAAGATCTCTTCGATGATCTGCGAAACCCTCTTCACATTTGCCCCAAGATTGAGCATCTCACAGATCGAGACTGAGATCCTAGCGATCCACGAAACCTGCGACAAGCGGTATCAACTCGACGCCAGCGGCGAAACACTTCCAACTCACCATCTGGCCAACTTGAACACCTTGTATGGCCACCTCCACCAGCTCTTCCTTCTTGCCCTCCGGCCCAATCTATGCCGCTACTTGCAAGGCGAGGCTACGCCTGAGACATGCTCTGCCAGAGCTAAGTGCGCCGCATCTGCCAAGGCAACCCTGGCAATCTACCAGTCCCTACACGATCTACCCCAGTATTCCACATACAAATGGTACAACAGTGGACTCGGGAGTTTTCACGCTTTCCACGCAGTCGTTGTTCTCTGCGCTATTCTCATGCACCCGGACAACCAATTCGAATTCACCGAGACCCACGATCTCCTCTGGCGATCATTGGATGCCTTCGCGGCACTGTCGAATCGCAGTAATTTCTGCAGTAAAGCCGTGCCTGTCATCCGCCAGCTTTTGTAAGTAAACCCACTCATACAACCCCCTCCCGAAATCCCAACTTCAGACAGTATCAAACTAACAAAAGATATCCAGGGACTTCGTCAGTGCCCGAAACCAGCAACAACAAACCTTAATACCAATGGACAACACCGTGCCGACCTCGGCTGCGCCATCCTTCATTCAACCCTACCCCACTCCACCGTTGGACTACATACCGGAGCCACTCTTTGCTCAACTCCGTCCCCAGAACTGGGTGAGTCCGTCATCGGTCCAATGGGATGGATGGAACTTCCTCGCGCAGGACCAGCGCCTCCGTCAGTCAGGACTGGGATAAATTGACGGCTAGAGCCGCATTATCAGTACTCGGTCTCATGGTTCGCTACAAGACCATGCTATTTCCGGCTAGAGAAGACAGCTTCCAGCTCTGGCCGTGAAATATCCGCCGTTCGATCTAGAATCGACTCGGTTTAGCTTGCAGAAAGAAAGCTAAGGCGAGGTGGCGGGAGCCCGTCGGAGTTGATCCGATGTCAGGACCCTCCTCGTATACGAGTCAAGCGTGATATCATGCACTCACGCATGTTTTGCTTGTGGGGAGGAGTCAGTCACTTGGGGGTGACTGCAATCAGATTCTCTGGCGCGGGCGTTACTCCGCATCCAGAATCCCGGACCTTCAATGGTCTACACACTTTATAATTGGCTATATTATGTCGAGGCAATGATCTGGATCATTCCCTCAACGCTCTTTTAACACAATTTCCTTGTCTTCTGTATGGAAACGTCACACGATATGTCTCTATTTTCTTCTGTCATATAGAATATATCATTGAAACATGATTATGTCAAACTATCCTAAGTAACTAGTTACTAACGTATTGTATTGAAAGATGTCGTCAAGCAACTTCCACCCGTTCAGATGTAGGCTTTCCAGCGTCATCCCCATCATCCCCATCCTTACTATTCTCCCCAGGTGCAACAACCTTATCACCAAACGAGGCAGCAATTTCCTCGAGCGTCTTCTGCTTGGTCTCCCTGTAAATTTCTCATCAGTAAAGATCTCAGAGCAACGTATGATAATGAAAAGCGAACAAAAAAAAACGTACGGAAAGTAAAAATAAGCCACAACTAGGAAGAAAGCCGAACAAGCCACGAAAACATAATAATAATTCTCCCCGATATTAGCAAACGCACTTGGTCCAGCTTCGGTGACTGCAAAAATTTTCGATCGGAATCAGCATATATACTCAATATCCATGAACAGAAGTAGATAAACGAACTTGCAACATTGACGATAAAGTGCGATGCAGCTGCTAGACCCATTACTTTGCTTCTGAGGGAGATAGGGAGGACTTCGGCGCCGTAGAGCCAGGTTGTGCTGTTTAGCATTCCGTCTGTGGGATCATTCCATTATGATTAGCTTTTCTTTCTTTTTGTTTCGGGTGTCGGTTAATCCTATATGGTGGTTTTCGCTTACAATAGGCTACGACGAAGAGATAGATGCCTAGGACGGCGAAACCCTTTCCAACTTGGTTGTCTGTATTCTGGAACTCTCGTTGCATGACTGCGGCGTATATTTCGATGACTATAATTCCTGCTAGACCTGAGAGGAGCATCCTATTTTGGATTGATTTCGTCAGTGGAGTGCTAAAATACTGGATGGGGGGAGAGTGGTAAATCTTACTTTCGACGGCCCCATTGGTCAGTGAGGTATTTCGTCGTCAGGCAGTTAACAAGGAAGGCTATGGTACCGTAGACTGCGGCTAGAGCGAGGATGGTGTGAGAGTCTATGCCTAGTGATTTGTATAGAATTGCTAGTTTGATGTCAGTAAAGGTATGCTTGGAAGTTGAAGGTGTCTTACTCTGATAGTACTGGTTGCAAATGTAGTTTAGTATCATCCGGGTAAATAATGGTTTGGCAATGAACATACCTGGATCACGTTCACACCGGTAAGACTTGTCATAGTCTGGACTGCGATTGATCTAGATATACTCCGTTAGATGCAAAGTATTTTACCAGAGTGCGAGAAAGAGAGAGAGAGAGAGAGAGAGAGAGAAGAGGAAGGGGAGAGGGGGGAGAAAAAGAACCTACACTAGCACACGGTGTCTAAAGAGTTTGAATATCTCCTTGTACGATGTGATCTCCCGCTCCATCTCGTATTCGATCTGCACAGCCATAATCTCGAACTCACGATGCATTTCATCAGGACGCAAGTCCCTCCGAATTCGTTTGAACTCATCGCGTGCTTGCTCAACCTTCCCACTTCGAATCAAGTGACGCGGCGAGTTAGGCATGAAGGTGATCAACCCGAGGAACATAATGATACCCCATGGAATCTGAATTCCCAGTGGAAGTCGCCATTGGACTGGCCCATACGGTGCAAAGCTGCAGGCGTATCCAACCCAGTTGGAAGCCATAGTACCGAGGGAAATCCCGCATCCCGAGATACCACCAATGAGACCGCGATAACGGGGGTCAGAAATCTCGCTCAAGTAAATGGGTACGGTTGCAACCAATCCCCTATACAGCATCTATCATTACAATCCAAACCTTTAAAGTATAAGAGCACTTACCCCACAGCATACCCGGCCAATACACGGCCTGCAAGGAACATCCCAATATTGACCGAAGCAGTCTGGATAGTAGTTCCGATTGTGACAATGACACACATCAGCTCCATGAAACGTAGGCGACCAACTTTATCGGCGATAGCTGTCTGCGTAAGAGCACCGAGTGCTTCGCCAGCAATATAGACAGCAACCACCTGCCTAGTTTAGATTACCAGTCTCTTAGCGAGCGTTTGGGGATCAACTTACAGCCCCAGTAAGTCCATCGGAAGGATTCTTCATATAATCAATCCAGCTCTGGTGGGCGATTGCTAGTCACGGTATGAGTTCGCTGCTGGCAACTAACAAGTCTTTGCTTGCACTTACTTGTGGTCGCAATTCCAGTATCAAAGCCCTATTGGCACATCAAAATTAATCCAGCCATATGGTTTGACGAGGTTTATAAGCTTACGAAGAGGAAAGTGCCGATTGCGGCGAAAAACGCAACACCAAGGGTGTACCAGATAGCCATCGTATCTTGCGAAGTAATAGACTGGAGAAAACAGTAGTTATCTCACAGTACTTGGAGTACATCCTCCAGTTTATAAGCACCATAGCCAACCGAGGTGCATATCCATGGACTAGTAGCTCGGAGCATAGCCGATCCAAGTGTCATGTCGTGGGGGTGCTAGAAGATTACTGGAGAGAATACGGGGAGGAGGATGACGATCCGGGGGAAAAGGTCCCGCGAAGGGGGAGAAGAGCGGGGGAGAGCTCAAGAAGGCAATTCCGAGTGATTCCAGCTGCAGATATTCCTACAAGTAACTTAAAGACTTCAGTCGGAGCTAAGGTAAAGTTTTTTTTGGTTTTTTTTTTTTTTTTGTTTTTGTTTTTGGCTGAGTACTTCGTAGGATGTCAACACACTAGACAATATGAACTCCCAAGATAAGATTCTAAAGTGTGAAAACTTATGTAGAGCAGTTGATTGCCAGTAACTACGGCCATATATCTAAGCCTACGTTACTGCTGTGTTGAGAACATATATGCTGATATCATTTGCACTCCTCCACCGTTGAGAAATAGTCGCTTCGGAAATACCATCCCAAACTCAAGCAGGTGAGTAAATATTGGTGGAGCCAAAGCCATGACAGACCATCACGTTTCCAAAATCTGAACTACAAACACTGTTAAGTGGCTCACGACTACAGTATTGTTTTAAGTAGTCAACTAAGTTTATATCTTAAAATGTACTACAAGGTAAGCACTATGGATATATAATAAGAATACGACCAATAACTTTTTCTTTTCTATTATTATGATTATTGATTTCGATTAAGATCAGCGGCTGGGTGGATAGAGTATACTTTAGCATAAGTAATCAGTCTTTTCCTAGGAACAAGCCTAGTCTGCTCAATGTATGTTTTCAGCGCTCCTTGTGGGACAGCGTTGCGTAAAAGACCAAGTTTTCTTGAGATGAGAAAGAAGGCTTGGCATAGGGCATGCCTGGTGGATAGAAGTTGACTCGGCTGACGTCTCGCTGCCATTGATAACGCGGATTGGTGGCTTGGCTTGATAGTCCTGTGGGTGGAGACTTTATGAGATACTGCAACACACTGCCGTTCCACAAGATCGAAAGAACAATACGACCGCCGCAGCATCAACACTTGCAATACGAAAGACTGAAAGTCATACGAAGACCTAGCAGGCACGGCGTAAAGCTCGATGGCTTACACGGACACGGCCAAGGAGGCTATTTTGCGACATTCTACTCGTCATAACGGGGATTAATTCATGAAGAGACTCATCAACTAGGAGTCATATATTCTTTTTTTCTGAATATCAAGTCCTATTCATTTTCCCATTGCCCAATGTCATGTGCCCCGCCGCGGGAGTAGCGGCCTGTGCAATGCAGGAAACCCAGAGCCGAACAAGGAAATCGCAAATTTAGAAAACAAGAGCAGCACCCTTGGTCTTCTTGTCACCACTGTAGAAGTCGTTAGCATTATATGTTGGTTGTCGACAGGCTGGATGTTTCAGTCAAGACGTACCCAAGCTCGAAGTGCTTGCAACGCTTCAGAGAGAGCTGCTTCTTCTGCTTGCAAGCAGTGCACTCAAGACGCAAGACGATCTTCTTGGTAGTCTTGGCCTTCTTGTGGAAGACGGGCTTGGTCTGACCACCATAACCGCTCTGCTTCCGGTCGTAACGACGCTTACCCTGGGCGTACAGGGAGGCCTATAGATATCCATCCGCATCAGCATTTGTCGTGTTGGCAGGAACCGGAGCGTTCGGGTATGTTCACCTTGCCAGCCTTGTACTGGGTGACCTTGTGCTGGGTGTGCTTCTTGCACTCCTTGCCCTTGCAGTAGGTCCGGCGGGTTTTCGGAACGTTGACCTGGTTGGGGAAAAGAATATCAGCGCTTGCCGTTCGAATGAATTTTGGTAAAGCTGCATCAGGATTTCTGGATTCCGGTCATCGGAGAAATGTAGTTCGACATCTGGTCGCCATAGCGGACATCAAAGGGGGAAGGCTGAGGGCAAGGATGTTGAGAACTTTGTATCGCGCTTGTCGTTATCTCGAGTGCCGTCGAAAAAGATTATGATCTCCTTGACATAACCGCACGAAATCCGGTTTGTGTGGGCACCATTCGCGCTTCAAACCAGGACACATGGTCGCCTCATTTTCCGGTCAACCCACACCGTCCGGGCTACCCCCTTATTGACTTGGGAAATATTGTCGTCTTTCTCGATCGTAGGCGTTTCGTCAAGTCCGGTATCTCTTAGCCCGTCCAGTGAGAAGAGTCGTCCTCCGCAAGCATCACCAAAATGTCGACCACATATCTCCAATGTCCAGAATCTCCAAATTATAGCAGCAAGCAAAAAGAACAATAATATTAGGCTCTTACCATTTTGACTGACTTGGCCGGGGCGAATTCGGTGGTCGTTGATAGTCTCTTGTCGGGGAGGGATCAAGTCGGCTGCCCGTCTGATGGGTTGTGGGATTTCGTTTCGCTTAGGCCCTATTGCACCTATTACGGAAGTGCGGTCTAACCGTTTCTGGTGACGCCAAGACCTTATACCTTCTTTTTACTTTTGGTGCCTCAGGCACCAATTAGCCCACACCCAATCAGTGTCGTCATTTGCTTGATCTTCTATCTTTAATCTATGTAATGTGTAGACAATCATGGGAACCCTTTCCCTGTGACAACATTCTCTCCTCCACCGTAATATGACCTGCCTTTACAAAGCTCTAGCCCTTTGCCTTGTCCAACAATCCACTCTCCTTTCGCAGGCATGGCCCCATTCTCCTGCGGCCAATAATTCTGCCGCAGTTTTTCATTAATCTGTTCGATCCTCTCAACCAGCGCAGCGACTCGCTCCTGATCTACAGCTGGGACTCCATCTGGCCCTGAGCTTTCTACCACAAATCCATCATGTGTAAAAAACCGCGCAATGGTAACATGTGCCGAGGGAACAATGTACCTCGGTTTCATCAGTAAACCGGTTGCAGTCAAGCGATCAAAAAGATCATGTCGCAAATGGTGATAGGTATACTTATCCCCTTCACCGCAGTATGTCTGGTTTCCAACGGCAATATCCTCCCCAGCCGCAGGAACGAAGCTCAAGGCCATGGCAGTTGCATCATAGCTGAGAATAGGCTTAACCAACCGCGTCCGATGATGGAAAGTGTAATCCACCAAGTCTGGTATCGTGCCACTCTCTTGTAAATGGGTGAGAAACGCCTCGATATCCGCTTCTGTCCGTCCACTAGCCATTTCCATCACGGTAATGTGCAGGAAATCCGATGGTGTCACCCAGATGGCTAGGCATTTGATATCAATTATATGAGCATGACTAGATGGAAGATCATGAGTCATAATGAAAACGAACCTGGTGCAGCATCTTGAATATCCGCCTGGATCTCAGCCACCAGTTCTCGGATATTTGGTGGCGGTCGGGCATAAAGGGTGAAATTGTTTCGAGGATCAACAAAGGAGGGTTCGCTATCTCTTTGTGTGTTGGTTGCGTGTTCGTGCAACTTGCGGAGAATTTCATCTGTCTGCCAGCCCGAGAAATCAGGGCTTAGAAGTTTGTCCTTGGATTGCGCATTCCTATTCGTACGGTGATCTTCATAGCAGTCTTGGACTTTACTCTGTTATGTTCGACTTTTGATTAGGCTTTTGGGGTTTTTATTTGATACTGGGGTAAAATAAACAGAAGTACCGGATCGTGTTGACAGTCCGTAAGAATCTGTTCGAAAGGATTGGTTATCTCTGGTTTGCTGGAAGTAATTTCAGTCATCTTTAATCATAAGCACGGTGGTGGTGTATCTGCCTTTGGAAGTAGTATTGGTGGTGAGGATGTGCAGTTGAAACTCGCTGAGATTTACGAAAAGGAGGCTTTAACGCTGTCGGTATATATCTCAGTGCTCGGCGTTCATAAGTAGGGCTATATAAGTTCGCACACAACCAGGCCAACCATATAACCTGAAAATACGAATATAATACGATGTAAGACCTATGTACTATACTACCTAACTTCTTACAGAGGGGTGATGAAATAAAAGATGAGCCATACGATCTGTGTACTTACGGAGTACCTTCCAGTCCTTTAAGCTCCACGGAATGTATTCGATTTTATTGTCCGCCCCACCAAAGGCCCCGCGCCACGGCGCAGCTTTCCGTCACCGTCTCCAGTCAACCACCGTAGTTGAGCCTCACTGCTATTTCTCCCTCCCTCACTCTTCCCTGGGATTTGATACCCTGCCCGTCTAGATTCCGGTTTTTAGCTTAAGCATTTCCCTAAGTCTCGGATTACACACAATTTTCGACGATGTTGATCAAGTGAGTCATGTGTGCCATAGTGCCTAGCCCCGTCCTTGCATTCTGGAGATCCGACGAGACAGTCGTCTCGGTGAAAGTGAGACCATAGGCTGATCGTCGAGCGTTGCTGTAGAGTTCGCACCCTTACCGGCAAAGAGATTGAGCTGGACATCGAGCCTGATTACAAGGTATTGTCTTACCTCTAGTTACGGTTGCTTTCTGATCGCGTCATACCCGTTGATTTGCGCAAGGCTGAACGATAAGTCATTTTCGTTTGAACCATGGTCACTAAGTTCACACAGGTATCCCGGATAAAGGAGCGTGTTGAGGAGAAGGAGGGTATCCCGCCTGTTCAGCAACGATTGATCTTTGGTGGAAAACAGATGTACGTGGACTCCGGAGCGAAGCCTGTCATACTTGAGACGTGAAGTCGAGCTAATACGTTTGTTGCGGTGATAGGGCCGATGATAAAACTGCGTCAGAATACAATCTCGAAGGTGGTGCGACACTACACCTCGTTCTCGCTCTCCGTGGTGGATCTCTGACCTTGTAAACACCTACCTTGAGTCCTGAATATCGTACTCCATCGGGAGTGCGAATGGGGCGCAATACTTGAATTAGCTGGGTGGTTCTCTGCAGTTGATACCTGAAGCCGCGCCGAATATTGTGACATGAACACAGCCCATGTATGTTTTCGTTACTATACACTTGAGATGGAAGCGGGCTGTTTAGTGCTGGCTGCAAGCGAATGGTGATGCAATATCAGGAATGCTTCCTGAATCCGCATAGCTTGTCTGTGCCACATGCATGTCGCCCCCGACTCAGAATGACTCTTAATGTGCTACACCAACGCAGTAATGATAAGCTTCACGAAAGAATTTTCAAAACACAACTTCGCCAAAGAGGATAGAGCAGAAGATATAGCCGTAATAAAAAAGATGCCTGTCAAAATTCAGAAGAAGACTGTAAACTGGATATACCTTGAGGACTGAAGTTGAGCAAAAATGCACATACTTTGCATTTGGCATCACAATCATAGACATCGTAAAGACCATGCGGTTCAAATGCAAATACACCATGAGGTGTTATTTGACACAACTCCATTCGATAATGCCAAAGGGGGTTGTTGGGTATACAGAGCCAGGAAAAAGAAAGGGAGGAGAAGATGAACCCAGATCAACATGCGAACGCCCTGCGCTAATACCGACAAAAAGACAAACCACACACCAATTCCTTAAACAGCTAAACCTACAGAGCTATGGTTATGAACTAGGATCTGGATGACACCAGGAATGTGGAGAACATGAAAGCTTCGAATCCGATATGATGTTAGTTAACTTTTCTCTTTTTGGGTTGCATGAAGACATTTGGAGGAGGTCGTTTTCGAATCATTGCAGGACGAGGAGCTTGTGCTGGGGAACCCCTGGGCTCTTCGGAAGTAGTACTGAGCTCCATTTTAGCAGATCGGTGTCTTTCAGTTGTGTGCGAGCGTGCCAGTGAGCTAACTTCTACAGATGAAACATTGCGACTATTTGCGGTGGGTGTCTGGGTATTCCTTGACCTTGAGCTCGCAGCAGGAGGCAATTGCGACGAGGCAGAGGAACTGGGGGTATTAGAACCCGGTCGTTGGCCAGAGGCAATAGCTCGTAGCCTTGCTTCCCTATCCCGTAAGGATGTAGATACCATAGGACTCTGACTTCTCCGTTCGGGTATACTCTGAAAGTTAGACCGCCCGGGTGCTCTCAATGCAGGAGGGTTAGTCCGCCGAGGGATGGCGGGTTCTGGCGGCCGTCTGTGCTCCTCAACCAAGGAACGAGGGGCTTGTCTGACTTGTGTGGCTCTATTATTCAAGTGTTTTGTGGGCACGGCCAGGGCATTATTCCGTTTCGGAGCAGTGAATATACTGCTTTTCTTCTTGGGTGGAGGCGGCGGTCGCTCCAAGGACCAGAGAGCTGATCCTAGTGGGTCTGACGAGCCGAAAGTATTCTTTGTAGATGTAAACATAGGTTTGATCCCGCCCATTTTTCGGTCATACGAAGCATACCGTTGCTTCGCCGTCGGTCTTTCTCGGGGGAGGCGAATATCACGTCGGTCAGGGACAAAGTTAACACTGTTTTTGGCACGCTCTGAACTGATCCCGTCCAGGGCCAGCTTCAGTTTCTCGGCATCTTCATCCACTTCCCTCTGCACACGTTCTCGAAGATCGCAATATACGTCATACCAACAATCGGATTGTTCCTGTATATCATATTCGTCCCATCTAGGTATATCTCGCTTTATAAACTCGAGCCAGAGCTCTTTATCTTCGTCTATAATATGAGGGGATTGCAGTTCTAGAGTTCTCTGTCAAAGCGGCAGTGGTCAGGCAATGGGCTGGTCAACTGGTCTTAAAACGACTCACGAGTTTCTCAGGACTTTCGATCTTCAAGAGAAAAGGGCGCGCAAGGATATACGGAACATTTCCAATATCATTTAAATCTGAGGTAGTCATGAGGTTAGTATGAGGATTCCAAGTATAAGATTGGTGAAATATGCGCACATTTCACGTTCTTAACAGCAGTCGCTGTACATAGCTGAAGGAGCGAAGGCGGCGGCATTATCGAGTATCACGGAGACCAAGAAGCAGCCAAGAAGGTAGCATGGGTAGATTGCGATATATCGAGTTCGTAAATGTAAGTGAGAGGAGGTTCTAGAAATATGAGTGACATGCCCAGGGTAGCCCGAATGGTGCATTAACCCAATTCAACTATTACAGGGGGAGGTTGTGTTGGATAGTAGTAGACTCGTTGACAGTACAATGAATGGCCCCAGTGCGGATGACGCTTATCACATGATTTGATTGGCCGAAAGCACTTCGGTCTACGTGGATGACCTTATCCGTTTCCCTGTACAAACTGGAATCATGACCTCCTGCACAAAACAGCATTGATTGAAATAATACTTGATTTCTTGTACTAACATACATTACCCATTACCCTAGAAACATAACGACCTTCCGATATTGACCTAAGAAAGACAGTGGGTATTACTGAAAAGGAAAAGAGAAACAAAGAGAAAAAGCAAGGACTGCAAAACATCGATAAAAGGGAATGGTAAATCGAAAAGATGGTTGAGTTACTTGTGGAATAATCATTATATCTGCCCTTGGTCATATGCCAGAGGAGTCGCGTATAAAGCTTCAGTTTCCCGGTGGATATTCTCTTACTTTCGTTTGTTGACTTCACCATTCACAGGCATCTGGCCCAACCAGGATGGTGGGCTGATGCCGGTCTGGTCGTGGATGGTGGCGAGAAGAGGCGGAAGGCCTTGCATGATATTTCGGACGGGGGCCATTGCATCTCCAGAGCCCTCTCCTTTTTCTTGAAGTCAGCTTTTCACCACATTTTACACGTTGATAATAGCGCTTAGGAGTGATACTCACCGGTGTTCCATGCTGAGATCTTGGGTGATAGTCCCCTGATAGCGTCGCCGTTGGCCTTGGCTAACCTCTCATATGTACCGTTCTCCATCATTCTGAACTGTAGGAAGGCTTGAGGTCCTCCGAGGATGTCAATAAGGGCACCGTATGCCTTAGACATCTCCAGAATTCCTTCAGCTTCGCGCTTTTGCTGATAGAGGGCAGCGTCGGCCTCTTTGCTTTGACGATAATCTAAGCATAGTTAGCGCAGGGATTCTACACCTCTAAGAGGTTGGCGAACTTACAGGCTGCATCTGCATCCATCTTTTGTTTATACAACCGCGCATCAGCTGCTTTCTGCTCCGTATAGTAAGCGGCATCTGCATTCTCCTGTGCAGACTCGCGCGCAACCTTGCTTTTAGTGACCTCGCTGGCTCTAAGACGTTCCAGTTCGGTTTCGGCACGCTTGGACTCCACTTGTTTCTGCAGCTCTGCATCTTTCATCTCTGTTTGGCGCTTGGTTGTAATCTTGCTGATTTGAACACTGGCATCGAGCTCAGTCTGACGATTCATGAGCTCGGAATCCGCCTTGGCTTTTTCGGCTCTCCGTTTCGTCTCCAGTACAGCAGTATCGGCATCGATTTTGGAGATTTCCTGCTTCATTTTGCCCTTTTTCTCTGCCTCTCCAATCTCACCTTTCATCCGTGCCTCAGCAACATCGATCTTTGCTTGGTTAAGAGCTCCTTCGTGCGCTTTTTGGCTTAGGATGCTAAAGTATTCGCTGCCGGGAGTGTCCTGGAGCTCTTTGACATTGGCGTTGTAACTATGCATGTGTTAGTGGAAGGAACACTCATTCGACTGTGGTGGCTTACATTCGCAGGCCAAATTGCTGAAGTTCTTTTTGCACGTTCTCAATTACTATACAACAGCGTCAGCTGGGCTGGGCTAGCCAAGTTGAACCGTAGCTACGGACCTTTGTTTTTGAAAATCTGCCTTTCCTTGAAGACTTCCTCCATGGACATGCTGGAAACGATGACTCGAGTTTCACCTTCGATAATGCCTTTCACAATTTTCTGGACATTAGTTTTGTCGTCAGAGTTCTCTGCAAGGAGCCGAGCGTAATCTTTGAGTGCCTCCATTTCATTGTCGGCTCCGATAGTGAACACTGCCGGCAATGAAAATTGAAGCTTTTCCATAGTCATGGCCTGAAGATTGAGCGCCAAATCAAAGGGCGCCACAGAGATCCTCTCACACTACTCATGAGGAAAGAAACTGCCGTCAGCTTTGAACTCCAAGCAAATTACTGGTTGGTTCTTGGCAAGGGAAAACATACTCGCTGGAAGGGGAGTACTATAGCTTTCTTGCAAATGCGAATATCGTCTATCCCGGCTCCAGTGAGCACGAGATATTCGTTTGGCTTTGCAATCGCATACCTGTGCGACACCTAGTTAGCCTAAACACTTGAAGAAAAATGTTTATAACGGGCAATATGATACCACATTTTCAACGTGTTGTTACACTGAAGTCTTTAATTTCTGTCTAAAAAAACTGGACAGTATCCAAGATGTCTAAGTCGTCATAAGCCGCAGCCTGGACGTTACTTATATAGCGTAGATTAGAGAGCCTCAAGGCTAGCATTACAAGATAATTACAGGTACACCCCACGATGACGCCTGACGATTTGCCCTGCGTTCCATGAATCTTCGGCACATGTTCCGGACAAAGTATTGTTATACGCAGAAATCCCGGGGCAACCCCTTATAGTGAGGAGGCGATGCTGTTGGTGCCATGCAACACGAACGCCCGACGGGGCACACACAGCCTTGCATACATGAGCTAAAAAACTAGTAGTCCATTGGTACGTCTCATACTACTAGACTAGTAGAGCCCGCATCAATCCATGACAAGGCTGGGCGATCCATCGGCTTCCGGTGGGTAAGCTGCGAGTTACCTAGGATGCTGTGCTTCCGTTACGGGATAACCACGTTCGTGCTAAGTGACTCAGGGATATGACCACAAATGAGGAATGTACCATTTTAAGTCGGGAAAAGTAGGGTAGAAAAATGACATATGAACGAATCTATGATTCCTCTCATTCTTAGATAGGTAACCGCAGGTCTGCGAGCCTTGGAAAGAACCTACTCCGTATGTCGTGAATAATTCATGGCATGTTGTCTGATAGATGAATGGTGTCACGTGTAAGAGCCCTCGGCCCCACCAAGCAAACAATGCAAAATTATTTTGGATAGCATCATAATTGCGGAGGGGTAAGAAGAGCACGGCGAACTTCTTCAGTGCTTGTTAACATCTCCTAAAGAAGAGGCTTCTACTGAGCTATTATTGAATTTACAAGATAGCAAATATTTTAAGGTATCTACGCTCTGCATGGTTTCCTCACAAGCAACCACAAACCCCTGTCGAAGCCAAAAGATCTGCCGCGGAGTACATGGCAGCTCGCTTTTTGTTGTTCAGGATACCTGGTTTAACTATAATTATGCCCCTACGACGTGACTTCAATATGGAATCCCTTCAGCATCATCAGCTCTGGATAACCCATTATTCTATACTCATTGATACATACCGACTTCCCGTGAGTTAATCGCTAACTAGGTCCTTTAGAAACAAAAGCACCATGGCGCCACGCTCGCAACTGGAGATCGCTACTTCGTCTGTCTTGCGTCTGGTGAAGGAAGAAGCATCCTACCACCGCGAATTGCAAGAACAGACAGAGCGCATTAAGAAACTAGAGAGTCAACAGGGCGGTGATGACGAGAACAAAGAGTATATGTTGAGACAGGAGGTATCTGCATCCACGAACAGCTCTTACGAATATTTTTTCTAATCCTATTGAAGCATCTTGCACTTGAAGAAACTAAGAAGGTCCTCCCAAGCTTAAAGCAGAAGCTTGAAGAGTCGATAGCGAAGGTTCAGGGTCTCCTGGTCAGTTTTGACAATTGCGCCTCACATGATTTGGATTCCTCTGGCTAACACTCCGTGGCAGACCGAGGAGGGCAACAAAGGGCCCGAGAGTAACGTCGAGCAAATCAATGCTGCCAAGGATGCTATATCAAAGGCCAGGACAGCTGAGCGAGAGATCGCTTGAGGACCATCAGCTGAGGACGTCAATTGGACATCAGTGCAAAATATGCTACCATGCTAATGATACAACCACCTAATATCACAAATGAAAAGATATATTATAAATCATGAATATTACAATAATCTAACGCCATAATCTAACGCCATCCAAGCATAACTCCTTACCTCATGAAGGATATATCAATAGCATGACATCAAGAGATATGTATGTTACTTACGTGATATCCATTCTGTCAGGCACCTCTTCTCCCTCCTCCAAGTCATCAGGGTTCTCCGCATTCTCATCTCCAGTCACTTCACCTTCATCCACCATAGTAGCATCCTGTTCTGACGATTGTCTCTTATCATCTTCAGCCATGGTGACTTGCCGTAAGGGGGATGCTGCCCCTGCTGCTGTCAATCTCTCTGCATGTAGGCCAGCAGGTGAACGGCCCGTTTCGTCGGGCCCTTGTTGAGATGGAGTAGCGCTATCGGATTCATGCCGCGGTGTATTGGCTCCACTAGACTTTCCCTTGGAAGGGACGTCGCCGTCATCTCCATCCTCACCCTCTTGCATACCTTCCCTGCGTTCCACCTCCTCCTTTTCATCTCTGATAAGACGCCGGAGCTGCATTCCTTCTTCCACAATACGGCCAAATTGTTCTCGTCGTTCAGCCCAAGTCTTCGCGTAGTCCTTGCTCTCTTTCTCGAGTTCTGTGATCTCCGCCTGTAGCTTCTGTAGGTTTGCCTGTTGGTCTTCCCGCGGCTTTAAGAGACGGTTGCTGGTAATCTTATCGGCCAAATCGTCGTAGCTTTTCCGCAGTGCTAAGAGCCGCTGTGCTTCTTCTAACTGAACCCTCAACTCGGCTGTGTTGTCGCGTACGGCTTGCATAGTGGAGAGAATCCGAAGCTTCTCGGCTGCATATCGTTCGCGCTCCTTCTCATTGCTCGTAAGGAGAAATTGAATGCGCGCGATACTGCTCTCAAATGCAGCAAAGTCCAGTGTTACGTCTTCGCGAAAATGGCGCCATTGTTCAAGCCTCTTCTGTTTCTCTGCCTCTGCTGCGGTGGCATCGTCGTCTGTTCCGTCTGGCGGAGGGGTTGGAGGAAGGGTTGCATTGGAGACAATTAGCGAATCGGGGTTCAAAAGTCGTTTTGATACACGTTTGAAAGGTTTCTCTTCGACGTTCAGCAGGCGCGACTTGTGGAGAGCATCTAGAAGGAGTTAGCGTGAAGTAGAGGAAGCTTGTCCAAGGTCAGTGACAACGCCGACCTTCTTCCGACTGATCTAGTAAGCCGTAAGACGCCATTGTACGAGCAAATCAAAGTGTGATTCTTGCGATTGACGCCGATAGCAGACGGTTGAACAAATCGGTGGTTGCTTCGGTCGCCGAGGAGGTTGGGTGCTTTAGAAAAAGGCTGATGCGAGCGGTCTGGGGATCCGCGCTAGGGCCGTTTCTTTCTTTCTTCACTCTCCCGCCATAAATCTTGCTCGGGGTGCCTTTTATGGTCCAGTACTTTCACCCCCAACTACTACTAACTGTTATCGCTGCCAACAACGCCGAGTGAGCCAACCAACCACGGCCCTTTGGGGTCGAATGCTAGCTATTCATTCAGTGCCCGCTGAGATTTTCTATAATTAGCGATGCCAATTGCCCTCCTATTATCTAGGCTTCGTGTCAGGCTGGATGGAGCCTTCTGAATATGCTTCTCGCGCTTATACGCAGACGACACCCGACCGACTTACGAATTTCGTTTTACGAAGTGTATCGGTTCTGACCAACTGATGATGTTTTACTGATGGAAACGACTTGCAAAATTAATCCGTGCCTGTGCCATCTGCGGCACCTTGCCTTACCGTCATGACGGAGATATACTCGGGGCTCCATATGGGCCAACAGTTCGCCTCGCTGGAAGAGTTCAAAGCATTGGTACGAAGTATATCGGTTAGGCAGCATTGGGAGCTTCGGGTGACAAGAAGCAACAAAAAGAGTGTGGTGATAGGCTGTCGATCGTCGAACAATTGCTTTTTCCGCGTCGTCTGTCGCGCGAATAAGAATGCAACATACATTAGCAGCCTTCAAGACCGCCATAGCTGTCGGAATAATGCGGCCTCCACCAACAAGACACCTGTTCGGTCAGAAGTGTCGCATGTGCGGTTTCTCCTCAATGAAATACCGAAACTCTTCGATATGAGGAACAATGTTAAGGCGCAAGAGGTTGTGGATGCTGTCAAGCGTTACCATGGATATGAGATATCGATACGGCAAGCACAGCGCGCCCTCATTAGATTGCAGCAACAACAGATACGAAACCGGGAAGAACGAGCTGATACTCTCGACTCCAGCGGAGACGACCAGCAAGGCAGTCATCTACCTCCATCTGAAGAACCACCGGAGGGTTCAACTTACAGCAGTCTTTCTGGACCGAGATGGATTCCAGATAATATGCAACATGGCCTCATGGATGCTGAGGGTATTCAGCATGGTGGCATGCAGCGCAATCATCCTGCACTCCAAGCTCCACAAATCCACGGCGAGACTTTGCAGTCGCACGCTCAACTAGAAGCTTCGCATCAAGTACAACCGACAGCTGCAGTGCATCATCCACCCAATATGCAGCCACCGGAGCAAGCAGCTTTAGGCAATCCTCTTAATCAGCCAATCACACCTCACCAGACTCGTTATGCAGTGTCAGCCCCCAACCCTCCGTCAGCGTCGCAGACCGGGCAACCCAAGCCCCAAAGACGGCTTCAAACCGAGGGACATCCGGCTGCTGCGCAACTAGTTCTCACAAACTTTAAGATCGAGTTCACATGCACTACGTGCGGAGCCTTGAATCAAAGCTTTTTTCCAAATCAAGGAAACATTACTGGCGGAAGCTATCTGCCTCAACCTCCTATACCCGGTCAGAGCGCTGCAGCAGAAGGCACAGGGCGCCCAACGCAATCTATTCAAGGTAGCAGTGGTGCTAGTCGCGTGGCTGAAGCCCATGGGTATGGGGGAGACACTGCAACTGGTCCCCGCGGCGTACATTCGCCCTGGACACCAGGTACTCTAGATGTTCCAATTGCGCCTGCACATACCTAATCCACGTAGAATGAGAAGGGTGTCATGGCTATTTGTTATTGCTAAGAGGTGACTAGTAACTTTTCACCAGACATGTTCGTTCAAGTCTCTGGACTGGCTTGTCCTAATCAAGTACATAAGATAAAATGGGTTGAGCCTAGACGCCACTGGAAATACACTTCACTTGCTGAAGGACACTCCTGATCGTCGTCAAAACCAGTAGGTCAAACTATTCGTCTTTGAATGTCGGTACACCTGTGCCTGCTTCTCCAAGAATGTGCTACCCACATTGTTGATTACGCGGATAAAGCAAGTGAGCATTGTCGATCTGGCCAAATGTGAAAAGCAAAGGAGTACGCTATTCGAGGGATTAAGATAGCCACGAGAACTATCTTAGACAAACATCTGGTTGCACAATAAGTGAAAGAAAGGGGGAGAAGAAATAAGCTAAATAAAATCACAGCTTAAAGCAAGGGAGAATTCAATAGAGCTGGGGCTTCGACAACCACCGAATAAGTCCTTGGACGGAACTCGGTGCGCATCCGACCAAGCTTTTCGGACCTCCGATCAGCGATGATCAATTGCCGACAGCCAAAGATCCACATCCCTCATATTCCGGAGTAGTTTTCCAACGAGAAGCCAGAGTCAGAGCGGAATGGTCCCGCGCAATCATTTTTTGATCTGACCTTGACGGAGTACCGTTAGCGCTAATGTTTGGGAGAGTGTGGATAGATTTCGCCAACTTGGAAGTACGTATCTGTGGAGTTCCCAGAACCCCTGGGCAATAATTGGCTTTCTCCTTTGCGCAAGCGTCGAATGAAAATTTGTCGGCATATACTCCGATGCTATTTCCTATATGAAACATTACGACGATGGCAAAGATGATAGAATGCGTCACACTCACTCATGGCATCAGCAAGAAAAATTTTTCCCTTCTTGCTTCCCAATTGACTAGGTTGCTGCGCATCCTTGCCTTATATGCTCATGGTTCTGTGCCCTCCTTATGAAAGAAAGGAGAAAGAAGATCTGCACTCAGCCACACAATCTATATTAAAACTCTTTGATCCCAATGGGGTCATGCACACACTATACCTTGTGAAGAAATAGAGTCCGCTGCATGATATCTCATACTCTCCGATCTGAAGCCGCTCATCCTCAAATGCAACGACCCAAGCATTGTTTGAATAGAACGCGAAATGATGAATCGGCAACAAGCCGCAGAGAAAGCTTTGCATGATCAGACCAATCTCTTGCCAATTGGTCAACTACTGATGGTTTTTGCTGGCCTGGCAGTGTCGTTACTTATCACTTTCGTCGACCAGAATGGCATCAGTGTTACTCTCCCCACAATTGCCAAAGATCTCCATGCTGAAAACACTATCTCCTGGGCGGGGACATCGTCCCTCATCGCAAACACCATGTTCACGGTGCTCTATGGCCGTCTTTCCGATATTTTTGGCCGAAAGATAGTTTACCTTTCTGCGTTGGCCCTGCTCTGTATTGCCGATTTGCTCTGTGGCCTGTCACAGGATGCCCCTATGTTTTATGTCTTTCGAGGACTGGCAGGTGTTGCAGGAGGTGGTATTTCCTCTTTGACCAATATCATTGTATCTGATATCGTGACCCTTGAACAACGAGGCAAGTATCAAGGAATCTTGGGTGCCTCGCTTGGACTTGGAAACGTAATTGGCCCTTTCCTTGCAGCTGCATTCATCATGAAGGCGACCTGGCGGGCATTTTTCTGGCTCCTCGCTCCGTTATCAGTATGCTCGATGGTGGTGGGATATTTCCTCATGCCGGACAATACCCGAAAGGCTAGTTTCAGAAAGAATTTGGGCCGGATTGATTACTATGGGGTTATTGCGTCGTCTATCGGGGTCATCTTCCTGCTCATTCCCATTTCTGGCGGCGGCTCTTACTTCCAGTGGGACTCTGCAATGGTGATAAGCATGCTAGTCATCGGTGGTTGCTCTCTGATTATTTTCTTTTTTATAGAGTGGAAGGTGGCCACGCTTCCTATGCTTCCAAGTGCGTCATTCACATAATTACCTCGCGATGAAGACTAATGTTTCAATAGTGGTTATATTTAAGAATAAAGTGATATGTACTTTGTTCCTGCAGAGCTTCCTTCTTGGGGCCGTCTACCAGTCCAACCTCTATTATCTGCCTTTGTATTATCAGAACGCTAGAGGGTGGTCTCCAATGCTCTCTGCGGCGCTAACGACGCCCTTGGTAGTTTTCCAGTCACTGGCGTCCATCTGTTCTGGGCAGTATATCTCTCGCCGCAAACGGTATGGGGAGGTTATCTGGACAGGTTTCGGTCTTTGGACCCTGTAAGTACTTGGCTCAGAGGAATTCTTTCAGATGCCAGTCTAACAGTATACGGTAACAGTGGTGCCGGCTTGATGCTTCTTTTCAACCATCATACCAGTATTGGAGCAATAGTCGTGATCGTCCTCATACAGGGCATAGGTGTAGGCTTCACCTTCCAGCCTACACTAGTGGCCTTCCAAGCTCACTGCACCAAGGCTCACCGGGCAGTTATAATATCGAACCGCAACTTCTTCCGCTGCCTGGGCGGTGCTTGCGGGCTGGCTGTGTCGGCCGCGATACTGCAGGCGGTTCTCAAGTCTAATCTTCCAGAGAAATATCAGAATCTCGCCCACTCAACATACTCACTGCCATCCAGATCAGGCGTTGCGGACGCAGATTGGGAGCAAATCACCACTGCTTATGCGAAGGCCTCAAGGGGAGTTTTCATTTTGCAAGTCCCGCTGATTGGGATTTGTTTCCTTGCGTGTTTCTTTATTAAAGATAGAGGACTAGAAAGACCCAAGGACCCCGGCGAAGAAGAGGCGGAGAAGAAGCAACAGAATGATGACGATAGCCGTGGAAGCCAGGAACATGCTGCTCGGGAAGACAGTGTGCCCTCGGATCTTGAGAGTCAGTCCGCCTCTACTAATATTGCGAATCGTAAGAATTAGTCTGATAACTCCGACATTAGTCGAGAGAGGCTCGTATTGTCTGAATGGTTTGCATATACGGCGTTTGGGCTTGGTCATAGATCAACATGCTATAAGGTTACGTACTGTATCACATCATACAAAAGTGACTTCAGGCGTTATTCGAATAATAAGATATAAATGCAACGTATCCACGATTTCCTCTGGGTAGCCTCTGTCCATAATACTACTTTAGTCTATGTATCATGTGCGTCCCTTATCGATAACGCAACTCCACGTGTCTTGGCGTCCCCATATTTTGATTCTACTCCAAATTTCCAACAACCATCTCTCCACATTGCTGGAATCCACTGACGATCTTCTGTTTGACGTGAACCATGACTTCACCTAGATCTCCGAGTTATGGATCTAAATGAATTAACGGCACCTTCTAGAGACTCGACTCCGTCCCAAGAATACAACCCTCGGAAGCGCGCCAGAACAGCATGCACGCGCTGTAAAACGAGAAAGCAAAAAGTCAGTCCCATCCTAAGTTTGATCGTGGTAAATTTCGCTAGCAGAGATCCTGACAATTGCGTAGTGTGACAACGAGTACCCGGTGTGCTCCAACTGTCAAAAGGCCGGGGCTGCATGTGACAAGGCCACCGTGCGACAAGAGAGCGGCCAGCAAAATGCGTAAGCCTGCCCATTCTGTTCAACTCGAATGCCCTAATGTAAGTAGGTACACTCGTGCTCTGGAAGAACGTATCGAGTATCTTGAGTCGCAACTTAAGTCGGGACGGACGGGCAATAATGCCAGTAGTGGTGTCTCAAGCCCAGTTGCTGCGTTCTTGTCACCTCAGAACCAAAAATCGATTCAGCGTAGTTCTCCGACTGGTATCGATCACAACGCTATCGGGGACCTGGTGGGATTTCTTGCACTGAATTCCCTAGAGGCTCCTGCGTATGTGGGGTCGAGCTCAGGGGTCTCTCTGGCAGCCAACTTGGGTGAAATGGTTCAGACAACAGTCTGGAACCAAGTCCTGGCGCCACCACGAGGCTTAGAGAGCGCTCAATCCACTGGAAATGGCCTAAGTACGAGTAATGCAAATTTGGGTCTTTCCTATCAACCAGTTAGTACTAGAAATGCCGGTGATCGATCTCGACCGCCGAGGATGGAGGAACTACTGGCGAAGGGTGCTGAGCCACCGAATGACGAAATGGGATCGCGAATCATGAATGCTTATCTGACACGACTCCATACACGGTATCCTTTCCTCGACAGGAGAGAGCTATGGCGATTACACGAGGCTCGCTGGCAGTTAGCGAAGAAGAAACGTGAGGAACTCTCCAAGGCTGAGAAGTTTGGAATATTTCAACTATACATAGTATACGCGATCGGAGCGACCTTTCTCCAATTAAGTGAGCGGTACTCATACATTCCTCCTGAGGTGAGTCGTACACTATGAGCCATCGAAACCTGTTCTAATTTACAGAAGCGATTCTATATGACCGGCCTCCAACAAGCTTCAGCTATGTGCGAAGCACGGTCCATTGAAAACATAAAAGCCATGACGCTTCTAGTTGTGTACCACCTTCGCTCTGCGTCTAGTCAGGGAGTGTGGTACATGATAGGACTAGCGATGCGTACTGCTATTGACCTGGGGCTTCACAGGAAAGCAAATGAGGTCAACCTTGATCCATTTACAGCCCAGCTTCGGCGAAGGCTGTTCTGGACAGTTTATTACCTAGAGAGAGTCGTATCCATGTCCCTGGGCCGGCCGTTCAGCATTGCAGACAGGAACATCGACCTCCCCTTGCCCTTAGACGTGAACGATGACGTACGGGACTCGGCTATTCTAACTGCAGTCCCACTGGCGGATAGGCCAACAACGATGACATTTGCCTTATACTTAATAAGGATACGTCAGATTGACTCCAAAGTTCAACATAAGATTTATCGGGCAGACCGACCACTCCACACCCTCCGCTCAAAGATGGACCGTTTGTTCCTCGAATTGGAGGAGTGGAAACAGTCAGCACTGCTGCGATTTAGTGGAGCAGATCTTGACTATCCAATGTTACATTACAACCGGGCGCTACGACTTTTGATTCAGCCTTTTCTGCCGTCGCTCCCTCTCACAGACCCATACTACCATATCTGTCTCCGCGCGGCCGGCGACATCTGCCAGACACATAAAAGATTACACCAGACGCTCGAATACGGTCACTCTTTCCTAGCAGTGCAGACCGTATTTATGGCAGGTATCACATTGCTGTACGCCCTATGGACGCACACTAGCGAGGTATGGTCTGTACAAATGAGCAACGACATCCGCGCCTGCTCCACGGTGCTATTCGTCATGGGTGAGCGAGCAGCATGGGTCAAGAAATACCGAGACGCATTCGAGCTCCTTGTCAACGCGGCCATGGAGAAGCTCGAGGGAAGTGATGCAGCCAAGAAAGTTGGAATGGCCGAACTGATGACAGCCCAACACGGCAGTGCCAATCCCCAAAACACTGGTAGCACGTCGAAGGAGTATCCGGCAATGGGTCCGGGCATGCCCGATGTTAACTCAGTGCAAATGGATCAGACAGCACAGGATCATGGAGTGCGCATGGCGTTCCAACTTGCTCCCTGGATTGACCTAGAGGAAGATTGCCCGTTCTGGATGCCTGATTTTGAGACTTTAGAGAGCTTGTCAGGGAATCTCTGGGGTGGTGAGGATCCTGTACTATTTGATCCTCTATGATGTGCGATGGAATATACTATAGAAGGGAATATAAAGATTATGCAGTAGATTAATAGATGAATCTCTCTCTCTCTTTTTTTTTAAAAACAAAATAAATAAAATAAAATAAAAGAGAAAGCGGTTTGCTTAACACAAGGGAAATATAGTAAAAGATTTGATATAAAGAATACTGTTTTAACTATAACAAAATATGAAAAATCATAGACTAAATTTTTAACAATAAACCTATAAACTTGTATAGTACATACCTAAGAAACCAAGGCCAAACTTTGATATCACCATATAATATATTCTTGCATAAATCCAACACGGCCTAGCAATCCAATGAAATAAACAAGACGATGCCATACATGGGAAGCATTTAGACTGTTGTGCTGGTAAGGTCTGTGACGTCTGGTGTTGGCTAAAAGGTCACGTTTAGATGACGTCGTTGCGACATGCACGGATCAAGAACAAATACATCATAATTCCATATTCGGATATATATATATACACATTGAATCAACACAACCAAGCAGTTTTCCGAGACATCTGCAGTCAATCTTAACCAAATAGCACAAACAAATATCTAACAAAAATGCCACAGCACAAGAAACAACACACCGTAGCCGTCATCGGCTCCGGAAACTGGTACATACATATAACCATCGGCACCCATACCAAAGCAATCCACTACTAACGACCCAAAAACAGGGGCTCAACAATCGGCAAGATCCTCGCCGAAAACACGGCATCACACCCAGACCTCTTCACCCCGAAGGTCCAAATGTGGGTATTCGAAGAACAGATCCAGATCCCGTCCGACTCCCCCCACTACTCGAAATACGGCGACAAGCCCCAAAACCTAACCGAGGTGATCAACTCCGTGCACGAGAATGTCAAGTACCTACCGGGGATCAGGCTCCCAGAGAACGTGGTCGCGAACCCGGTCCTCGAGGATGTGGTGAAGGACGCAACGATCCTGGTCTTCAATCTCCCGCATCAGTTTATCGAGAAGACGCTGGATCAAATTAAGGGTAAGCACTTGCCGTATGCGCGGGCGATATCGTGTGTGAAGGGCGTGGATGTGACGGATGGGATGGTGACGTTGTTTTCGGAGCTGATAATGGAGAAGTTGGGGATTTATTGCGGGTCGTTGTCTGGGGCGAATATTGCGCCGGAGGTTGCGGCGGAGAAGTTCAGTGAGACGACTATTGGGTATGATACACCGCCGATGGATGTCAAGGCCGAGGATGGAAGCCCGGAGGACAATAAGATCAAAATTGATGAGCAGAGGCAAGTGAAGACGAGGCCGACGCATACGAAGTTGACGCGGGTGCCACAGGAGCTTGTGACAGTTGATGCGGAGCTGTGGCGGACGTTGTTTGGACGACCGTATTTCCATGTCAATGTGGTGGATGATGTTGCGGGCGTTGCGCTGAGCGGCGCACTGAAGAATATTGTGGCATTGGCGGCAGGCTTTGTCGCCGGGAAAGGATGGGGAGAGAATGGCAAGGCAGCAGTTATTCGGGTTGGGGTGGTGGAGATGGTGAAGTTTGGACGGGCTTGGTTCCCACAGTCTGTCAACGAGAGAACATTTACGGAGGAGAGTGCGGGAATTGCTGATCTGGTCGCGTCTTGCTCTGCTGGAAGGAACTTCCGATCTGCGAAGCATGCCGTGGAGAAGGGAGTGGGCGTAGATGAAATTGAAAAGACTGAGATGAACGGGCAGAAGTTGCAGGGGACATCCACTGCGAAGTCCGTTCACGAATTCCTTAAGAAGCATGGGAAAGTGCAGGACTTCCCTTTGTTCGACGCCGTATACGGTGAGTCTCCTCTATGATTCTGGGGACTGGTTCTCTGAAATGTGATTGCTAATATCTGACAGGTATCCTCGTAGGCAAGACCAGCGTGGACAGTTTGCCAAAGCTGCTGGATAAGAGGTTCAGTTAGACTGATACTGAGCCTGTAAAGCTAGGATGCTCGGATGGACTGTATATAAATAATCGGCTCTGAAGACCTTCCAATAGATACTGATAAACAATTAAAAATGAGATGAATTGACCATGTGCTGTTCAATAAATCCGGGCCCATGATATTAAGTGTACTCATACAAATAACATTATAAAGAGCACCGATGGTGCAATCAAACAGACGGTACCATGGTCATCAGTCCCTTTGCTATTCGTTGAATCTGCCACCCGTAATATGTCTGTTCTGATTAGCAAGCTGTCTCTTAAACATCAAAGGGGTATCTTACAGTTTCTAGCCCAGCACCTATGATCTTTGTAGGAAGGAAACGAGTATAAAATGGAGCCGGAACCTTGTTCAAAAGCAACTGCGCTTTTGCATCTGGAACACCTTCATCGAGGAGCAACTGAGGGAACTTGGTGTCAATAGCCGCCGGACGGCCAATTCCAATTAGATCGCATGCATTCTCCTTGATGGCGTACTCGGCACCTGTGCGGCTTCGGAAGCCGCCTGTCAGCATAAAGACAAGATCGGGGTACCGCTTGCGGGCTTCGGTTGCGAATTCGATAAAGAAAGCCTCACGGGCTGCTGTGCGGGCGCTCTTCTGCGGCTGCGTGCCCCCCATCATCTGTATGCGATGAGCCTGTGTGATGGACAAATAAATGGTCGGGCGAGGGTGCCTACACTGGGATCTTCATAGCTTCCACCACTGACCTCGAGGAAGTCAATCCCGGCCTCCACCAGTAATCCGATTTGAGTCATGGTTTCTTCAAATGTTGATGAGCTGTGGTCTGCAGAGTTGAGTTTGATGCCCACACAAAACTTCGATGGAACGACTTTTCGAATTTCGGTAATAATATCTAGGACAAATTTTGCTCTCTTCTCCGGAGTGCCGCCGTACGCGTCTGCTCGAAAATTTGTCTGTTGCCAAGGTGTTAATTAGCGCTTTGGCAGTTTCCTGAGCTGGGCCGTTACCTTGGGGTTCAAGAATTGATCTGCGTTATTAGCAACCGATCCGCGACACATCCACAGGTTCAGAGTGACGTACCAATTAAATATCCATGGGCGCCATGCAACTCAACGCCGGAGAATCCACTATCGGCCATTAATCGAGCCGTATCAACAAACTTCCTCGTCACAGTGTCAATATCTGCCTGTGTCATCTCTCTCGGTGCCGGGAATGCGATTCTGCTAAGAAATCCGTCCAACCAACCATCCCCAATCTGCACGGGAATCGCACTCGGCGCTATAGTCGGCGCAAAGAGACCACGGTTGCCAGCACCGCGAATTGACTGTCGACCGGGATGACTGATCTGCACGATGGCAGGAGTTCCATGCTGTTGGCATGCTTGGGCATATTTGGCCCAGCTCTCAACGAGGGCTTCGTTACCCTCTTTGCCGGTATATTCACCGTGCAGAGCAGGGTCGAAGTGACTTCCGAGGTGGTCTATGTCAACTTGGACGTTTCCTGACAGATCACATTAATATACTGATACAGTAGGTTGCACATCCGGTTATCAAAGGCTTTACCTGTGAGAAGAGCACCCCACCCTCCTTGACCCCATTGATTGTAGACCTCAAGCATTGGTGGCGTCGGATTATGCTCCCATCCCGCCAGCATCTCGGCCATTGCAGCCTGATAGCACTGTTAGAAAAATGGGTTTGTGCTTCAGGATAGGTCTTTCACCTTAACAAAGCGGTTGGGAAACACTAAGCCGCAAGGGAGTTTGACAGCGTCGCTTAAAGAAGACGGCATTACGGTAGTATATTTAATAAAAAATTGAATTGGTTGGGCTAATGTGACTAGTAGGTACTAGAGGACGCTCAGGACTGATATACTTTTGCCGCAGGTCGGATATGTACAACCGAGGCAGATAGTGTCCACTTCTCTCTTAGCGAAGGGCGGAGCAAAGGCAAGCCGAACGGATAACGGATGGGGCTTCCCGAAAACCTCATGAAGGAAACTTTTGGTCGTCTTCAGTTTCACCCACTATATTGATTGATTAGTGATACTTAATAATGGGGAACACTCCATTAGCAATCATAAATATGTTAGTAATAGATAGCAATAGATGTAATGAATAAATATTCAGAAAAGAATCGAACCGAATCGATACGACCCCGAGTGCTAGTCATTGTTAGCAGGTTACAAATTCCATGTATTTCTCCGCTGCTATTGTTGCTTGGGGAAGGGGAAGAAGAAGAAGAAGAAGAAGAAGAAGAGGATGCCTCTATCTTCAGGTTTACCGGATATGGAAAAACCACGTGGAGCGGGGGTCCGATCATATGGCCAATGGTGTTGTTTGTTGTTAACCAACCCTGATAGATTTAGATAGAGGGAAATCTTTTTCATACATGTTTCCAACATTCCTACGACCAGGGACCATTGAAAATCCATCCCAAATCCCAATGCGACATCCATTGCGAAGGGGGTAAAGATTAGATCTGCACAACCTTAACCTTAGCTTCGCCCGCCGGAGAGATTCAAATGCAAAGCCTCCGCAATTCCCCACTTCACATGCCCGCCCACGAGGGGAAAAGCTTGCGAGGGTCCAGGTGGAGGTTCACGGCCCCAGAGAGATACCCTGCCTAATACCTACACAAAATTACTTACTCTAAGAGTTGGATGGAACACGAAACATCAAGCAGAAAATAAGTCCAATTCAATCAATTGTTATTCATTCAATTTGCCCGAAATACCACAATCATGGACCATTCTAAAACGAACCGAACAAATACCCAAGTCCAAAATGTAGGACAAATCGCAATTAGTGATGAACGGGGTATACAGGAACAAGTGCATCCTTCTAGCCAACGGCCGTGAGGCATGAACAAAAAAAAAAGCGCTTCAAATCAAATCAAACCGGCCTGGAAAGTCCCAGGATTTTAGTGACGCAAGAAAGATTGCTCCAAGGGGGGATGCTACGGAGTCGAGCATGGAGAAGATGAGGGGAAAAGGGTATGAGGGAAGGAAGAAGAACAAAAAAAATACGAGCCGTTTACAGCTTGGCATTCTCTTCACTCGACAATCCATTCAAGAGGGAGGCTGGGTTCAGGTTGTGCAAGAGGGCACCAACTTCCCTCTCCAAGGCCAGAACTTCGCTGTGAGCGTCATACATGCGGGCCTTGATCCACGCATCAAGCGCGTCATCGTTCATGGTGCGCAAGGCAGTCTCACGATCAACCTTGTCTTCCTGTGCAGCACGGATGACCTTGCGTGTCACCACAACGCTGACCTGGCGGATCCGGGTCAAGTCGGGATAGAGCAGACCACGTTCGATCTCCTCCGCAGTTAGGGCCTGCGAGAGGGCCGCACCCGAGGCATAGATCATGCTGTCGGTGATCTTGACCGCCTTGGAGAGGATAGTACCCAGACCGATACCAGGGAAGACATACATGTTGTTGCCTTGGCCCGGATAGTAGGTGCGAGTTTCTCCAGCAGAGTTAGTGAATGAGAAAGGCTGGAAGGGAGAACCAGAGGCAAAGAGAGCCCGACCATCGGTGTGAGTGATAGCGGTCTCGAAGTCACACTCGGACTTGGAGGAGGGGTTGGAGAGAGGGAAAATGATAGGAGCGGTGTTCCAGTCGGCCATCTTGCGTAGGATCTCTGGGGTGAAGACGCCACCAATGGTAGACAAACCCATGAGGATGGTTGGCTTCACATAGTCGACAACCTCCTCAAGGGTCTTATACTGCTGGCCTTCATTGTCCTCTCGGGCAAAGTAGACCTTGTGGTCGGCGAGCTTGTCGCCACGGTCAGTGGTGACGAGACCTTTGGTGTCAACCAGGTAGAAGCATGACCGGGCCTCATCTTCAGTCATGCCCTCACGCATGAAGAAAGCAACAATCTGTTTAGCAACGCCGACACCGGCGCTTCCCGCACCAAAGAAGACAGCACGGTGATCCTTGCAAGGAAGGCCCGAGCGCTTCACGGCGTTGATGACTCCACCCAGGATGACGGCTCCCGTGCCCTGGATATCATCGTTGAAGCACGTGTAAATATCGCGGTAGCGCTCCAAGGCAGGGAAGGGGTTCTTGAAGTCTTCGAACTGAATGACAATGCTGCAGGGCGTGAGTCGCTCCGTTAGCGCCCGTAATATCGGAAGATGTTGGGTCGATCAGAGGAGTCACTACTTACCCAGGCCAACGCTCCGTAAGAGCAGCCATCAACTCATCCATGAACTCCCGCTCCTCTTCCGGGGTAATCTTGTCACGGCGGCTACCCATGTACAACGGGTCTTCCCGGAGAGTCTTGTTGCTTGTTCCCAGATCCAAAGTCAAAGGCAGAGTGGCCTCGGGGCGAATACCTGCACATGCAGTGTAGAGCGCCAACTTGCCAATAGGAATGCCCATTCCATTGATGCCAAGGTCGCCGAGGCCGAGAATTCGGGAGCCATCGGTGATGCATGTGATCTCCACATTGGGCTGGGGCCAATTGGCAATGACAGCAGCAAGATTGCCGCGATCTTCCCAACTTAGGTACATACCTGGTATTAAGTCGTTAGCGGCCGGGTTTGATTCGTTGCAGCTGAGCTAGACAAGGTACTGAAACTCACCTTCCGGTTGCTGGTAGATCTCGGACCATCTCTGGCAAGCTTCACCGACGACCGGGGTATAGATCAGAGGGGTAAGTTCCTACTGGATGTTAGATTTCTGATCTACGAAAATCTAGCCTGCAGACATGGCCTTTATAATGCAGCTTGTTTTCGTCCCCACTTTCTGTACATACCCTCAGATGATCCGTCACCAGACGGTAAAATAAATGCACATTGTTCTTGCGAAGAGTGCTCAGGTAGAGAAACTTGTCAATAGCGGTTTGCTTCAAGGCCAATTGTGCCAGGCCTGTAGTGCAATTAGCTTTCCCTCGTCGCCGTGAGCAATCCGATGTCCCAGTATACGTACATCTTGTTTTCTGGACCTCGTAGGACTCTGCGCGCGGAGGAGTCAGACCGTATGTGCGGAGGTACTTGCGGATGTATGGAGGGTTGGCGGTATCGAAGTTGGCCTCTCTGAAGGGTCAAAAAAGGTCGTCGTCAGCGAAGAACTTTTCTTTCATAGAAGTGCTTGTTTCACCAGCAGGGGACCCTTTAGGGTATAGAAGGGGCTTACACTGGAGCGGCATGGTTCACATACGACGTCGAGGTCGCATGGACCTGACGGCCTTGCTGTGCAGGAAGACGAGCCATTGGGGCAAGCTGAGTCACACTACTATTGGGGCGAGTACCAGCAATGGAAAATGATAACGAAGAAGATGAGAAAGATGCAGAAGAAATGGTTGCACGAGATGACAGAACGATAGGAAGCAGTCTGTTTTTATGTCCGCGCGCTAACATTGAACCCCTCTGAGGAGAAATCCACAACATTCCGGTGGTCATAACACAGAACACCCGTTGTGATTTCCAACGAGGTCGTCGCGAGGTCTAAGAACAAGGGCCGTGGAGTGATTAGACGAAGGCTCAGACTCATCAATCGGGAAGACTCGGGATCCAAAGGGCCAGTCAGGGAGGTCGGGATCGCGACGGTGGATATCGGGGAGGACGTTTAATGGTTGCATACTTTTAGTCCGAGTCTCACCAGTGGGAATAGGATACGAAGCTTTTTGGGAAATTTGGGGACGAATTGGGATAGATGTGGAGAAACGGGAAGAGTCTCCGAACCCGACAAATGCGGAGAAATAGAATTTCAAAAGGACGAAGCGAGCGATGAGAAGTGGCAGACAGGGCTGAAAGCGAATGAGAATGAGGTAAATTGCAAAAGGAGTTGGCAATGGATTGCGGCAATTTTGGACCAGGACGATAACTACCGTGTAGCACGGAGTACAGGTCGGGACGCAGGTATCAAAAAAGTTGATCATCTAAGTATAAAATTTCACTGTTTGCAAATTCCGATATATCGACTTTTAGTTACGCCTAGTGCGGATACACATTAGTAGTGGGTTTCCAATAAGTAGAGTAATACATATACTATTTTTCACCCTTTTTCTTTTTTTGTTGGGGAGATTTGCACCCGACCCCTTGATTGAGGCTTTTTACTGGACGTAAGCAAATATGAATTGCGGTTTTTTTTTTTCCCACATCTCTTCGTTCTCTCTTTTTCTTACTCCAATTCGACTATAGCTCCGAAGTACCCCCCATCCATGCATATAATGAAAAATTGCCTACGCGGTGTACACCTAGACTTGGATAGGCAAAAGTATACAGTACTATTATTATATTCTTCTCTTTCTCTCTTAACTCCGGGCTCCGGTTACAAGTTTCCCCCCTGGGTGATAGTTACGTGTGTAATATTGTGTCTCCACGATGATCGCTTTCTTCAGTTCGACCTTCCTTTTTCCTGAAAAGTAGTGTAATATTAATTCTCTCGAGCTATCAGGGTAGGGATCTCGTAAGCAACAGCTTGCATCCGATATGGCATCCCGATATTTTTCACACGGTGGAGCTGACCCAAATAACGACACACGACCCTTCAGTGGACAAAAAGTGGATCGAGTCTCATGTGGCAGAAATTAGCCTAATGTACAGTCGCACTAACTATCCTGGTCGTGGAGCTCCAAGCTAGGTTCCAATCCCAGTAAGTCTAACTGCGAGAGGAAGGATTCTGGACGAAAGCTGCTGATCGATACTCATGGTTCTCGACACTCTTCAGTACTTTTAGTGTCTTTTTTTAGGCTCCCCGCAGCGAAAACGCGGCCCGGATACTGGCCGAGTTCGGGTTCTTTAGTCAGTGGCGGGTTTCTGATTACCTCACCTCGCACCTAACCTCTAGAGGTTAAGGTATTTTCTTACTCATAGCAGCCGTTGTCATTACTATTGCTGCATCGGGAAATACGATTATCTTTGAAAGTTGGAGATTATACTCTGTGGCTGTCAATGTCTTTTAATGACGCATAGACTTTGGGTATGTATGTATGTAACCCCCCCTACATACATACATGCGTACAACTATCATGCATGCTGTCTGAGTGCGTGTCGGTACACGTTTACCTGAGCCATCAGAATGCGTTATTTTTTTCCCTCGCCTCCTCCCTATTCTCTTTCGTTTCAACCCTTTCCAAGTCCTCTCCAACTTCAAAATTAGCACCCCCAAAATCCTTGTTTCGCTGCCCAATAGTAAGACTCTGAAACAGCAAGGCTCCGCCGATCGGGTCCGGCCGATGGAGACATCGGATGGAGCCCATTTCCTAGTTTGCGTAGTCGTCGCCCTAGTCTTCCGAGCTTCAAAACCGTAACGCAGTTCTAATGTTTCTCATTAGGCACAAATGCCAAGGTTCAAAATTGCATAGTTAATACAAATTCTCTAGAATTTTAAACTGTTGCAATCGAGGCGGTTCCAATTAATAATGGTTAGATAGGCGATTACTATGACATCCGACTCTCCCTATCCAGTCGGCCGTATTGCCACCATCGACGGCAATCGGCGTAGTCCAGATCTACCGAGTCATTTATACACAATTCCTACGTATGTTTCAAACAGAGCGATGTCTTGTAGCTCAGTCCCCTTGCTTTCCAGTCTTTTACGAGAGAATAATAGCCCCATCTTCAATCTAGAATGATACATACCGTTACCCACTCAGCCAGTTTCCCCGGATTCAAGTCGCATTGATCTAAAGCTTCGGTAGTGCCGATCCTTTCTTCTTTGATCCGTATACATCTGGTCACAGGGCCGAACAGTATGTTTTATACAGTGTAGTATAGGGACTGGGACCGAAGATACACAGTACTCAGTATACCGTTGGGATTTCCGCAACTTTGGTCCCTGCAGAGTCTTTGCTGTTGCGGAAGTTGTATTATCGTGCATTTCCGGCTCTGTCCATACCCCAGCGGCATCAATGTGTTGGGGTGTGTGGCGTTGAGACGGTGTTCGGGCTTCTCGATCGATCTAACGGAACTTACTTTCCGTGATCGTAGAAAGTGGCTTTTGTATTCAATTGGGTTACTGTGTCGGGAATAACTACTCTGATACATTTTTGGATCATTATCTTTTCAGTGCCATGGTACGATAACACATCTTCTATCCAGTTAGGGTTATAAGTAATTAGTGTCTCGATCAAGTGTCAACGATCATTTTACAAGATGGAGCACTCTCATCTCGTACCCAAATGAAGATTGAAAATTACTAGTACTGTTACTGATCATATCGGTACCCTTAGAAGTACCCATATTTTCCCATTTACTTTATTTTTTAGTGTTTCTAGTCAGTCCCAGCCCCTGAGCGATGTGCAGTCATACGGTCATCAACTTGTGAACTGACAATAAGCATATGGTCTACACGAATCTCGGAAAGAAGAAAAATAAATAAAACATTCACCGGTCATGATTTTGGGATAAATGTACCAATGTTTTTGATTGGGTTGCCAATCATGCAACCGACGTAGAGCTAAGATAGTATACTCACTCATCATGGAATAGAAGTCGTGTTGTTACTCGGTGTCAAATAAGAAGCATCAGGTGAGGCTCAAGGCGACTATGTCGATCTAGTGTTTCCGGTGTGGCAGAATGGGTCCATCCCATACTCCTGGCTGTCAAGCTTTTTTTTAGGGTAGTTTGACAACAATCAGGAGACGTCATGCCTATTAATAGAGATCTATACTATCATCCTACGTTCAATTGATGATAGGGGACTTAGATATCGTTTCATATTGGGATTCTATGCCCCAGACTATGGTTCTACGCGGTTGTCCGCCCTTGAATGTTCTCCAGTTGCAGATAAGAATGAAGCACGTGTGTGTTTTGTATGTTTAATTACGAAGCATGTACAGAGTATATATAGTATGGACGAAAAAAATAGTTTGAGACAGGCAAGAACGTGGGATGTTGCTTATCAAGGTTTGTCTGACAAACCCTAACTGTTGAGAAATGATCTCATTGAAAGAATAGGTTCATTTCCAATAAATTATAGGCAGTTTGGAAGCACCAATACTTGATTCTCTTGTGTTATGAGATCATTCTGATCGATAAGTAGTACATACATATCGAAGGCGGATCACCTGATTGGCTAAAGCGGCGGGGGACCAGTGACGCAAGAGTGAAGCTGTTAAGCGCGGCAACCACGTAGGGAGAAGCTCATCTCATCCTGTCATGCAACCCATCCTCCCTTCTTTGGCCTCAGCTCCTTTCGGAGAAGGTTGAGTTAATTGAGTCATTGATCCTCCCGCGGAACAATTCGGGTAGTCTTCGGTGTACATACTGGGACTTGATAGTCCTTCGGTCAATCAACACAAGAGGTATTTCGTGGCAACGGCTGCCTATCTGCCATGTCCCAAGAGACCGAGCCCCTCCTTCCTCGCTATGAGGAGGACACGACCCTTCAACAGCGACTGCATCAAAAATTGCATTCGTTTCAGATGCTACGTGCCCTTTCAGAGGGTTACTTGCCATCTACCGACCAAGTCATTATTAATCTCCGTACCTTGTTGGCCTCCGATATCCTGAACCCTCGTACCCAGGATATCGGCTCTGTCGGTCGCCAGCTCATCCGAGACTGTCGTATCTGGATACAAGTCTTCATCGAACTATTGCGCGACAAAAATAGTGATGATAAGCTGCAGGAATTCTTGTGGCATTTGTCCCGATCTAGGGTATCGCTTGATCGTGGCCAGGTCGCACAACATGCCTCTCATGTGAAGGCTAGACAAGATACTAAAGCCGGTAAAATTACACGTATACTTGATGTAAATGTAGTAAGCTGATGTTGGGATAGCGTATGATAGTCTTCGCACTGTGGGAAGCCTTCTTTTGACTAATGCCGACTTCCGTCTCTTTGTTGATGACTTAACCACCGTTGGCCGTCAGATATTCTCTGACACGGCATATTTCCTGTCAGATACTTCGAAACAAGTTGGGGAACAGATCAAACCATCACAAGAAGAAGTCGACGCGGTGCAGGGCGTAGGTGCAGATGAAGGCCCGGCCCCATCAAGCGAGGAGCTATGCCAGGAGGTAGCTCAAGTTACAGAGGCGGCAGGTAATGGAGCAGCTCGCATTGGACAAGAGGCAATCAAGAGCGCCAAAGAACATCTGGGAGGCCAGGAAAAGGATACATTGCTCTACCGGTTGAAGCAAGCCGTCCTGAAACTGCGCGAACGATCCGACTATTCGGACTCGGTAGCCACCCTTGCTACACTGGTGCAGCGTTACGCGAAGACCTACGCCAATGCAACTTCGGATATAATCACAACGGCTGAAGAAGAGGTCGAGGTAAATAGGGATCTAAAGCAAGCGATGCAGCAGTTCTGGACTTTGGTTCAGTCGCTGGGCGATGCCGAGCAATGGAAGATCCTGGAACAAAGATTCCAGCAAGTGTTGCAGCATACTAGTAAAGACCCAGAATTTGAGAGACTAATGGGAGAGTTAGGGTCTTCAGTGCAGCAGATGCTGACTGACCCAAGTTTCTTTGACTCTGCTTCAGAAAAACTCAGTGAGCTCGAGGAAAAATCTAAGAAAGTCGGCACTGAGTCCAATCTGCGGCAGGATGTGGAGGCTTTTCTGGAACAGGCAAAACGGACTTTGCGTACAGTCCCTGAAGATGCCGCAGTGACCAAATTGATAGATGCAACCAACAAGCTATACAAAGACGCATGGGACGGCTACTATGAGAGAAAATGCGAATTGCCCTCGGACATCCTTGAAGTTTTCTTTCCTGTTCTTATTCGAACCATACAACACATTCCGATTCTGCGACTTGAGGTGATGGCGCCTGAGCTTGACCTTCTATTGGAGAACTTCATCCTGGAGCCAGGCCACACGGTTAACTATTCATCATTTCTCCCATATCGTCTGCATATCACCACACGGAATGACATCGACGTCTTAAAGAGGCATTCAAAGAGAACCACGGCTGATCTCAAGACCACATTTACTGCCACAGTCATGGGACTCAACGTGAGTGCTTCAGAATTCGGATATTGGCTCCGCACCCACTCAGGCCTGTTCCGTTTCCATGATGAGGGTATCGCCAGTTTTTATCTAGATAAGCGGGGCGTTGATATCTCCTTGGATATCGAAGTGGGTCGGGAGCGTCTGGAGCAAATCTTTACGCTTCGCGGCGTGCGGGTGGTTATACACAAGCTCGACTACAAGGTGCATCGCAGCAAGTGGAAGTACCTTTTATGGTTGACCAAGCCATTCCTGAAGCATATGCTCCGTCGAGTCTTGGAGAAGAAGATCGCAGAACGAATCGTTGCGGCCGCTTTTGCACTTAACCGGGAGCTCGTGTTTGCACGGGAGCGTTTGCGAGCTGCACGCATTGCCAATCCCCAAGATCTGGCGACCTTTGTGCGGGCGGTGTTGGCACGATTGCAACCAGTCTCAGACGTTGAGACTCGTATCGGCTTTGATGCACCTGGAAAAGGTATCTTCAAGGGCGTTTATGCCCCTGGAAGTCTTACGAAAGTTTGGCACGAGGAAGCACTGAGAGCTCAAGAAGCCATTGAAGAAGGAGATGAGAGCTATGGTCTGAGAAGAACATGGCGAAACGACATTTTTAACGTTCCGACACGTAGCTACTAATGATTGACGGATGCTTCGCTTTTTGCTTATTACTTGAGGTTTCTTCTCATCCACTGGCATCTCCCACACTTATCTTTGCATATTCCCTAGGGAGATGTCTGCTTTAATAAGTCTATGTACACGCTGGACGATCCTATTAGTTACTTACGCTATGCGACATGTGTAATCGCCATCGACTCCATTCACTCCTTTACTGCCATGCATGCCTCAACTGTCCACATATTACGGGCCATAATGAAGTGCACAATACAATTATTTAGCAGATATCTCCAAAGAATATTTTGTCGTATAGTGCTGCCTAGCTGTTGCTTCCAATAAAAAAAAGGGGATAATTGTATAATCACACGTGATCCGGCCCGGTTGAACCATTCGCCGTGTTGCGGCCACCTAATCGACAAGCTATGGTGTATTTGGGTTGACAGCTTTATTTAGTTCAGGACAGCAACACAGATCCAACCCCACCACACGCTTCTTGAGGTCTTTGCTGATCTCAAGGCATAGTCTACGTTTACTTTATGGACTGTTCGAGCCTGCTCTCATAATTCAGAAAGCAAGAAATTAGCGAAATAACCACTCTCGCCTCTTATCTACTTTTAAGATACCCGCAAGTCGACAAGGCGCACCTCGATTGCAGCGATAACGCCGCCAACTGATTATCACCAGACTCACACGAGCTGCGCGAACGCAGCTCGTAGAAGATGCTATCCACAATGCGCCTAGCTTGCCTTTTTCTCGTCATTGCACTATGCCTGGTGCAGTTGGTGCTGGCGGCAGAAGACTATTACAAAACTCTAGGTTTAGACAAATCGGCTTCAGAAAGGGATATTAAAAGGGCATATCGAACCTTGAGCAAGAAATATCATCCTGATAAGAATCCGTACGTTTTTGCGTTATCTTAGAAGCACTAGTACTCTAACGGCAATTATACAGAGGCGACGAGAACGCACGCGAGAAATTCGTTGAAATTGCAGAGGCATATGACGTACTTTCTACATCCACCACGCGCAAGATCTACGATCAGTATGGACATGAAGGAGTGGAACAGCATCGACAGGGTGGCAATGCGGGGCGACAGGCACACGATCCCTTCGACTTGTTTTCGCGGTTTTTCGGCGGCGGCGGACACTTCGGACATGCGCCGGGACATCGGAGGGGACCGGACATGGAATACAAGATTGGGTTGCCGCTGCGCGATTTCTATAATGGCAGGGAGGTCACTATTATGTTAGAGAAACAGCAGATCTGCGATGCGTGCGAGGGTACGGGGTCGGCAGATCGTGAGGTTATCACCTGTGATCGGTGCGCGGGGCATGGAAGGGTCATCCAGAAGCATATGCTGGCACCCGGAATGTTTCAGCAAGTGCAAATGACCTGTGATAAGTGTGGTGGACAAGGGAAGATGATCAAGAAGCCCTGTCACGTATGTCACGGACAACGGGTTGTTCGCAAGGAGGTGGAAACAGCGTTTACTGTAGAGCCTGGAATGGGGAAGGGGTCACGGATTGTATTTGAAAATGAGGCCGACGAGAGTCCCGACTATATTGCTGGCGATCTGGTGCTGATTTTGGATGAGCGGGAACCCGAGGCGAGCGATTACCAGTGGCAGACGGACGGCACCTTCTTCCGAAGGAAGGGTAAGGACCTGTTCTGGAGGGAAGCGCTATCACTGCGGGAGGCATGGATGGGTGAGTGGACCCGCAATATCACTCACCTGGATGGGCACATCGTCCAGCTTGGACGCAAACGCGGTGAGGTCGTGCAACCCTTGTCTGTGGAAACAGTTAAGGGTGAGGGCATGCCATTTTACTCGGACGGTCATCTCCATGAAAGTCACGACCAAGATGAGGAGCCGGGCAATCTGTATGTGGAGTATAGTGTGATTCTTCCTGATCAGATGGAGAGCGGGATGGAGAAGGAGTTCTTTGCGCTATGGGAGAAGTGGCGTAAGAAGAACGGGGTTAATCTGGACAAGGACAGTGGTCGGCCTGAACCATCAGTGAAGGATGAGTTATGATATATTAATTAAATACACCGCATCAAGCTGTCTGGATGACCTACGTGAATCCGTGGCTTTGTATATTTACTATATACTGTATTAGATTAGACATCGATCTGCAATGATCAAAGCAGCAAAACTCTGCATCCATCTGAGCCTTGGTGCTCTCTTGCGGATTGAGTTACATAAACACAACGAATTAAGAAACTACAATCGTCGATGGATTTACAGTGGATTTTATCTCAGAGTTCCTTAGGGATGAAAACATAAGCCGGATAATTGATTAGGGTTCAAGTTCAAAGAGTCCTTGGCTCAGTTACACGTGAGTTGTGGACCAATTTACCCATTCTTTATATGCATAATACTACACATGAATTGGTCAGGTCTGGCTATTTGTACGCAATAGCTACTTTTCCTCTTCCTGAAAGGCTCTATGAAGCATCTGCATTAGGAGCATCGATATATATATGTTTTTTTTTCTTAAGGGGGAATAAGTAGCTAATCGTCCACCATTCAAATTGTTGGTGGCTTAGAGCTAGTCCATAATCACAAGGCACTCCCCCTAGATATTCAAACCCATGGCAGTAACTTCTCCTACCGAACAATCTGAAGAGGAAAATGTGTTTGGATACAGCTCTTTGGACTCCTCAGGGCCCGACGAACATGATATATTCACAGAGGTCATGGAAAGTATACGACTGGATCGTCTCGCCAAATACGCCAGCACAATTCGACAAAGCATCCCGCACAGCAACCCCGAAAGTTTCAGGGTAATCGAAATCAAGCCCCCAATATTCGGCTCCTACCATGTCCTTTACCCGGTGAAATTCCACGACGAAATTCTCTGGCTACTCAAAGTTCCTGTAAATGGGAGCCGAGAAAAATTCACAGCCTCGGATGCTAGAGCTCTACGCTCAGAAGCACTGACGATGCGCTTACTGCGTCGCGAAACTACTATCCCAGTCCCAGATATTCATGCCTTTAGCGACACATGTGACAATGAGCTCAACTGTCCGTTCATCCTTATTGACCATGTGGAGGGAGTCTCGCTGTACAAAGTCTGGTTCGATAACGCTTCGCCGAAAGAAATTGTACAGGCACGACGCACGCGATGCCTACGAGACCTCGCGGCTGCTATGGCTCAGCTGGACATATTCTCGTTCAGCACAGGGGGTTCAATGATTCTCGATGACCAGGGTGTCCCCTCGGGCATCGGTCCCTTACGACTAGTAGATACCGCAACCATGCGAGAACGGTTAAGAGCTGGCGATCCAGACCAATCGACAGTCTACTTGGAGATGGGACCCTTCTCCAATACAAAAGAATATTACACAGCGCTGCTGGATCGTCGAAGACCGCCAGACACGACTTTCGAAAAGGGTGTGCTTGGCCTTCTCCGATTGTTCATTGACTGGATACCAGAGCCAAGTGATGAACGCGGCGCGTTCGTTCTGGCCCATCCTGATTTTGATGTTCAGAACGTCTTGGTTTCACAAGACGGGGCATTGCAGGCCGTCATAGATTGGGATGGGGTGGGGGCTGTGCCACGAAGTGTAGGGAATGAACGATACCCGGGCTGGTTGACGCGAGATTGGGATCCGGCAACGTATTGCTGGACCGAGGATATCGAGCGGCGTGCTGAACCCCTAGGTCTCTGGGAGGATTCACCCGATACGTTGAGATTCTATCGATCTTTATATACTGGGTTTATCCAGTCTCACCGGTTATATCGTGATCTGGCATGCGCTAACCTAACTACAAGATCACTCATTCTCAGGAATCTACTAAACGCTGCGAATGATCCGTATGGTACAGTAGATATCGTGCAGAAGGTCTTTGATACAATCGTTAAGCTTGCCCAGGAGGGTGTGTCAACTCGGTCAAATGCGTCTGGTGACAGCAAAGAGTGCGAAGAGGAAGTATTAATGATTGATGATTGTGACCTTGCGGACTTCGACTTTTATGATGTTTCATGCGCACTGGCTGAGAAAAGACTGAGCGAATACCATAGAAGATGCTTGAAGTTCGGGTATGATATCCTTTTATCAGGAAGTAATACAATATAACTGGCATCTGCCATAAACATGGTTACCGCTCCTCTTCAGGAGCTCTATCTCACCTCGTAGTCTGTTAATGCATTCATTACTACAAACCCTACCCCAGGATAATCGTGCCAGCGCGCTTCTATATACCAAGTGGAATACCACGAAGGCTTAGGATCAAGCCTAAAACCTTGCCACACTGCTTATTTTCAATAATCTCCAGACCATGTCACCTTCATGTTGTTACCATTAAATAATAGAATCTACTATGATCTATGATCATTCAATAGATCATACAACTACATACCTATTCAGGAATAGTCCCGTCCACAAAGGTACATCTACATAGATATCTCATGCCTCAGGCACAAAACTTCAAAAGCGGTGCTCCCTCAAAACCAGCAGAATCACACACCGCCCTCCAATTTTTTCCCTAATCAACCAATACAACCATCGCAACAAGAAACCCGATATACAAAGGGAAAGAAAGAACACCGTCAAAATGGTCCGTCAGCTAAAGTATCACGAAAAGAAGTAAGTTGAATTCGGCTACATATTCCGCAATGCCCAAAGACCGGCGCATGCATATCCCGTCGAGCTTGAAGATATGCCAAAAACCCAGAAGGCCTATCTTCAAGTCATCTTCTTGACTGGGATATCCTTTCTGGCCATATTACACGGGCAAATCAAGTTGGAAATTTTAAATGATATAGTAAATTTAACAACAAATCCTAAATAGGCTCCTTCGGAAGGTCGACTTCTACAACTACAAATCCGACGGCGGTCACCGCGAACACGAAGTCCGTCAGCGGTACTATCTCCAGAATGACCTCGACTATAAGAAGTACGTTCCTCACCAGCTCGCATCATATAAAATGTCATCAGAATAGGACCCTAACACAACGTCTCAAAGATACAATGCCCTCTGCGGTTCCCTCCGTCAACTAGCGCATAAGCTCTCGCAGCTCGATCCCGATAGCGATCCGGTCCGGAAGAAGGTCGAGAGCGAAGTCCTCGATAAACTCTGGCGTATGGGGATTCTGAAGCAGAGCCGGGAACAGGGTGCTGGATTGTCGAGGGTTGAGCGCGAGGTGACGGTTTCTGCGCTCTGTAGACGCAGGTTGGCGGTTATTATGGCGCGGAGTGGCATGGTGGAGAATGTTAAGACGGTTTGTTCTTCCCCCCCTTTCCTTTTCTTTCTTTTTTTTTTTTTTTTTTTTTTTTTTTTTGCTCTGGTTGGGGATATTTTTGAGTTAGTTTGTTTGGAGTGTGAGGGCTAATATGTTTTCAGGCTGTTACTTTCATTGAACAGGGACATGTGCGTGTTGGAAGTGAGGTCGTGACTGATCCCGCTTATCTGGTGACGAGGAACATGGAGGATTTCGTCACTTGGGTGGATAACAGTAAGATCAAGAGGAACATCATGCAGTATCGGGATAAGTTGGACGATTTCGATATGCTGTGATGAATGAGCGTGGATTGTTAGTCAAAAGTGGGTGTGTGCTTCTGGTCGATACCCTTCACTATGATTTATATTATCTAAATGATTTGCATGGCGTTACAAGGTGGCGATATTGGAAAAGAAAAAGTATCTCTCATTTTCTTATATCAAGGCAATCAGATTAATTTTGATGCAAATAGATATGAATTCGGTCCAGTCTATGGTTTGTTGGGTATCACAATTACAAATCTCCCGCCCATGCAAGGGAATAATCAATGACAGTCTCAAGTCTCACGAGAAATCTGTGACACGTGTTCAACACACCTCACTCTGTGAGAGCGTCACAACTCGGAACTTTGGAAAGCTCCAGGCTTTTCTTTTTCTAAAGAATGTTGCACAGCCGGTGGCTGTCAATGTCTAAATGGAAAACACGGAGAACCAGCGTGGCGTCATGACTCGACTATTCGCTCTTTCGACGACTGCCCATTTTAGTCGCCACCAACTTTTGTTTCAGCTTTCGCGCACCAATGGCATTCATTTTACGTTCCGGGACAGGCTCGTCAGGGAGGTCCATTCGAAACCGTCGGACACTGCCCTCGTAGTTTCCTTTGCCGTCTTTTTCTTCAAAGAACGGCGTGCGATCATGTCCGAACTGGCACCACTTGGGGGCAACCCGGCGCCAGAAACCCCTTACCCCGCTACTGGCACGATCGATCTTCTTGTATTCGCGCCTTCGCGTGGACGGGGACGTCCAGTCAATGACAGTGACCGAGGTCTGGATGGGAGGGATATAACTTTCATCACGGATGGTGCTCGTGACGGGCGAAGCGTGGAGCACGGGGCCCTTATGATTGTCTTGACCCGTCAAGTCCTCACTGACTGTAGGAAATCGGGTCGGGAAGACTGGGGAAACCGGGGGTGAGCCGGTCTCTGAAGATGTGCGGAGCGTGTGTGGCGGACTATCGTGAATAGTTGGGGGAAGTGACGCTCTTTCATACTGAGTTGGGATAGTTCGCTCACTGTCTTGAAATAGACGACAGGATTCCCGGTGCAGGGCCAGAAGATCTTCCCGCTTGGGTTCCAGATCTTTACTAGGAACCGATGGCGTGAGAGGGGCCGTGACGGTAGCTGAGCGGCGATGAGAATGTAAAGAGCTTTGGCGTGCCGTTTGTGCAGAGTGGCGAGTGCTTCGAGATGATGAACGACGATGGTCTCCAGGACTTGTCGAAGAGGGCGACGGTGGGGATGAAGTTCGTTTCCGCTTTGGAATGCGAGTATTGTCGCAAACAGGAGATACGTCTGGGGTGACGTTTGGAGTTGTGGTCGAGGATACTTCCATACTCAGTCCCATATCGTCGGCGATATCGTGAGAGGCTGGGGAGGTGCATGTATCCTCGGTGATTTCAGTGAGTTCCAAGGTGGCTTTTGTATCGGACAAGGCATTCAGGTTAGGAGAAGAAATCTCAAGGGATGGAGGTAGCTGGGATCCAGCCAGGCAAGACGGATTATTTCCGGTGCCTGGACCCAGAGCAGTTGGTGTAATAGTTTGGACTATGTGGAGAGGGCGGCTATTGTTGCTATTATTATGGTGATGCCCGTGCGGAAGACTGTCAGGATAGCCGCCGTGGGCATGCGATTGGCGATGGCATGTGATGGAGCTCATGGTTGGCGACAATCACCTGCCGAGTAACCAGTGGTTCGGATCGTCGAAAAGAAATAGGGAATATCAAGTGAGGCGCAAGAGATCGGGTTGATCAGCCGATCATGAGACGTAGTCTCTGACCATCAATACATGACAATAGGAACAATGGTTCTGACAAACGAGGTCAGTATATATACTTCATGCCGGTCCCACTCAAGACCTTTTCATATGATTACCTACCGATACAATGAAACATCCTGACGGTGAAACCAGCCCATCAAACTCGAGAGAGAGAAGACATAGGGAATGAAACGAGGACCCAGGGAGGACGGAGGAGGGGTTAAGAGGGAAAGGGAGGGAGGGAGTAGACCAGAGACAGTTGATAGTAGTTCGTAGGATGCCGGAACCCACTTATAATAAGAAGTAGAATAATAATAATAATAATAATCAATCAATCAATTATGGGGAGAAATAGTTGGAAGAAATTATAGGCGAAACCAGTTCTTCACCGACGGGGGGACCTTCCAGTCTTTTGCGCCAAAAAAAAATGATAAAAATAAAAAAGAAAAGAAAAATGAGAGAGAATTAATACACCGCAGACGATCAGTGGAGAGAATCGGGCACTTTACCCTCTCACTACGGGAAGAACACGAAGGACAAGAAAGGTAAAAAGAAGAGACGATTCATGGAGAAGAAATTGACCCCAGTGACTACGACTAGTCTACTAGTTAGTACTCCAGACTAATACCTAAGTTAAAATCAAATCGGCGCTCCTTCCCTTTTGCCAACAATTAAGAAAGAATAACACTGCGGGGCTGCCCTCCATCAGGCATCCAGGCAGATTGAAATTCCCCTGCAGGTCGAGTCTGGACCTGCAGGTTCCACTGGCTCTGACTACTCAGCGCAAGACCTGTCATTGGACCCTCCCCGTCCCTCGTTCCTTCTAAACGCCCCTTACAACAGGCTACTCTTTTTTTTTTTTATTTTTATTTTTTTCCTCCAAACTTGATCCCCCTATCGGAATGATAGGCATCCATCTTAATGTAATTTATATGAACCATACGAGGCTATCGTCATCAATTATTGACAGCAAGGGGGATTTCCTTACTATATTAGTATATATTAGAGGTAACCGACTAGTAACACAAGAAAGAGAAAAAGCAAAGAAAGTCGGCATCGAGACCCGACCATGAAATAGACTACGGTTTATAGTCAGCGACGGACCAGTCATTTCCTTGGGAAGGCGAGCAAGACATGGGTCATTCTGTTGATGATCTCCCCACCATGTGCCCCCGCTGCAACCAATGTCCGCTTCCGCGCCCCGCTTGAATGGTGCACTCCCCCATTCGGACGCCTTCTATTGGTCATGCATTTTCACCGCCAGTCTTTCGCCTGGGAAGGCGGTAAAACTGCGAACAATCTGATCTTGCTGGACATGGACTCGTTCCTTTTTTTTTTTTTGTGTTGTAGCAAGGCATGTCGGACTCGCGCCCGCTCAGCAGGTTTGAACTTTGAACAAGAGGGAGACATCAGGTGATGTCATCAGCATACCTCCTCCCCCACCGTTGGTTTACTTGGTCCAGACCAAGAGTGACATTCGACTAGTAGCATTCCTGACTCTAGTGTATCTAGTATGATTTTACGAAGCTGGTTGTTCTCAACCGGTATTTAGACTAGGTCTACTCTGTACGGAGCACTCTATACTCGGTAAGCTCCCGAAAAGTTGGAATGCACCTTTTCAGCCACTCAGGAACATTCTGCAAATGCCATGAATGCTTCCCTCTTCTACTCGATGCTCGCCTCCGTGTCGTTTTCATACGCTCGGTATCACCCAATACACGAAAGGTCTCCCTTACTGATTAGCACGGCGATACATTGCATACCATGTTTAAAAAAAAAAAAAAAAAATTATGCACAAACCGAAGTACCACGAGGACTCAACGGCTGACTGGCTGACTCCCTTCTGGAATTTATGACCTATCTACTAATGAAACATTGCATACTCACTTCCGGTTCTCTAGCCCCTATTCTGTTCTGTATACACGGACCACCTTATCGATCACGTCTCCTAAGGGTATCCATCCAACTAGTAGGGAACCCCGTGGAAGTTTCCCTCCTCTTAGTACCGTGTGTTTAATAGTATCGTCTGATGTGCATAAACAACTCCAGTCCATCGTGGTAAACCAAGGGCTTAGTGAAACATGCATGCCGTATCCTTTCGCAGATCATGGCCTGCAGCGAGGACGTTCTCGGCCGGTCAGCAACTTAGGCATAAAATTGTCACGCTATTGAGTAAGTGAGGGCTTTTGACGGTAGTCGACAGCCATGGTTTCATTGAGCATGTGGACTCGATTGAAACAGCGACTTGTATCCGTGGAGAGAAAGAGTAATATTCGGTTGGCGAAATGATAATAGCTAGCTACTCCGTAGGATTGTGAGCAATGAGATGGTCCACTTGCAAAGGGGAACTCTTCACTCTCCAGATCCCGTCCCCTACCAGAGGCCACAAGTTATTCATAACCTGCTTTAGGCGGCTAGACCTATAATATGATCCCGCAATCACGTCCCTCGGCAGTCGCTGGCTGTCCCACACCTCTGTTCCAATTTCCCTGACATCCTGGGGCTTACCCGTACAGGTATTGGGTGTGACGAGAAACGATCGGCTCACTTGCTGGATGGCATCTCTTTCATTATCTTCTTCATAGGCACCCCCGCCAAAGGGTACAAGACGTAAACACCTCAATCTCTGAGTAGATTGTTTCGAGACGATAACATTCTAGATCCCTCTAGCAAGACCTTCATCAATTGCAGCATTGATTAACGTTTCCCTGAGAAAAGCGGGTCCGGCATTCCTCCTGTTGAGGGACCAGTGATAGCAGCCTAGATTTATGAGCAGGGTATGGAGCTGTGAGAATTGACCTATCGCCTTGTATATGTCGCACTTATGTGGGCGGCCTCCACGACGCTTTATTGGAAGGCGAAGTTCTTGTAAGTTTGGGCAACTCTGACAATTCAGTGATATCGTGACTGTCGAATAGCGGATACGTGTATCGAGTGTATGGCCTGAAATTTTTATGGCTAATATCCTATGGCTCGAGTGCGAGGCCTCTCAATGAGCAGCCATGCTGTAGAAGAATACGATGAGGAGACTGGCTCCTCCGTAAACAACGTAACCATAGATATTTTTAGCGGATGGAAAGCCTGGACTGCAGCTATCATATCTTCGTCGTCTGCAGATCGGCCTGCAGCACGCACCTTCCATGGATCCATCATCAAGAACAGTCTTTCCAGACTTGTTAAGATTGAAGCAGCTCGCATTAACAGTGTAGGATCCGAGTGAATCGAGATATCCAGTGAATGAAGCCGTGAAAGATCGACCATATTTGCCAGTTCGGGCAGCGTTACTTCCCAAGGTCCACAGCGAGCCGGCGACGTAAAAGAGAGTGAAACTAAGCATGCTGCTGGGCTGGGCTTCTCATTCGCAGTACTTTCTTTGCCCATCGGTTTCAGCAAAGTTAGAGAACGAGAACTTCTTCCGCGTATATTAAGATGCTTAAGATTTGGAGTCATGCATATGATCGATAGAATTTCGTTGGAATGCACCCAAGGTCTCCCGACTTCATTCATGAAATAATCCACGGCAACAGTATGCAGCCCCGACGAACGAAGAAGAATATCAAAGTTCTTGAAAGCACGGGGATGTTGGATTCGTGGCAGAATATGCGAATCAAGACTTACATCTTGGAAAGGCCAGATGTTTAGGCGGCACATTGGATGATATTGGCGTAAGACTTGCTGGAGTAATGGTGGGTACATGGTCATATCTACTACATAATTTAGCTCACTGAGGTGCTCTAGATGAGCAATCACAGAGACAAGAGATTACCACTTCTCCTCTCCATATTACCGGAGCTTTAAAATATAAGGCCAGAAATCTGGGCCAAGGTACTCTTTCAAGCAGTACTTTAGAAAGGTTCTCTCCGAAGCCGGGAGGCCGTAGTGGACAAGTTCCATACTCTGGCGACGCCATGGTGTTTCGCTGTAGTCTCACAGGAAAACGATATCTAGCCTTCGAGCATACTTCAAAAAGAGTCGCCCGCGACCAACCTCCTTCAGCTCTGAGACAGCTTTTTGAAGACTCACACTATGCCCAAACCTAACTTTGAGAGTTTCATAGAGAATAGGAGCCGTCGCATCATACCACTCTCGGCTTGTCAGGCTAAGGGGGGCTAGGATACCAGAAGGGTCGGCTTTGACCTAGATCTCTTTAGTAATTGACAGACTCATCAAGGGGACCCAAGGGCCCACATACAAAGCGGCAAATGTGCCACTTGATCTCGCGAGGAAGAATCTCCATATCGGCCCTATAAGGTAGAGAAGGAGAGGATTAGATGTGTAGAGGAGAGAGAGACTGTGTATGAAGCAGTATATCCACTGGCTTATATTATTTGTGATTTAGGCAGCAGCAACCTCACCGAATAAGAATAAGACCATCAAAGCAGCTCTCTGTGTACTAGGTAGACATCACCTAGACAAAGGCTGTAGTCTATCTACTAATCTTTGAAAGGCAGTTTTTCATTCACTGATCTTGCATTTGTATTTCGAGGAAGGCCTAACCAAGCATAGGCAGAGAATGCAATTGCCTTCCTTCCCAATCTGGTACTAACGATGTGATTCCATGTTTCACTAGGGAAGTAGCGGCCAGGAAGCTTAGGGTATAAATACTTGTACTTCCCCCCGCAGTTCCTTCTTTTCCATGTTCTCTTCCTCTCTTCTTCTTCTTCTTCTTCTTCTTCTTCTTTACACTCCTTTGTCGATCGACCTACCTAGACCAGGCTGCCTAACGCACCTTTTCTTCTTCTTGTGTCCTTCTTTCTATTTGCTTGTCTTCTCTTCCATCTTCCATCTTCAAGTCTTGTTATCTTCGTTACCTGTCTCCCCATCTATTCTTATTTTCTTGTCTTTCTCCTCTCATCTCTCCATTTTTTTCTCCTTTGCCTGTATATACAGCCTTCCTTCTATCGAACAATCTTTCTTCTGGAGTGCCGGGTAGTGGCAGGGTGGGGAAGAGCAGAGCAAACCGCAGCAAAGGAAAAACAAAACAGAAACAGAAATAGAAAAAAAAAAACTCGTCTTGCAAAAAACACATACTGACACAAAGCAAATCAACAGGGTATTCCAAATCAAATATGCATTCATATACGGGCCCTTGGTTGGGTGGCTGGGATGGGCCTGGGTTATCAGGCAGTTGTGAACTGCCTGATAACAAGTCTTTTCTATCCTTAAATTCGAGTGAGTGATACTTTGTCTTGAGACTTAACCTGACGAAATGTTTATTTGACAAAGACAAGCAGAGTGAGATCGCCTTTTTCTCTTGCCACTTCACGCTTTTTTGGGGATAACCACCGCCATCTACATATCTCTTTCAATGTCTTGAATTCCCTACATAGGAAGACCCGAAGGTTCCAGATCCACCATGGGAATTAAAGGGAGTGCACTAGGATCTGCTCGCGGAGAATGGGACTAGGATTGTTTCGAGTGAAGGAGGCGGTGGGCTGAGAGGACAATGGAGAGGGATGGACAAATATGTTCAGTGTACATATGAAAAAGTCTTGATTGGATACATATTACGGTTTGACCATATTCCTTGCTATGTCTAAGCTCTATTCAAATGGTACTGTAGGCCAGTGACATACCCATATTTCCCCGCTGAGGGAGGAGCACACCGGGCTCTTTAGAGAGCCCTGCCATATTCAAAGGCCATGTATACAAAGGAAGCAGATATAAGTAATCCGTTAAACATCTGGCAAAATAACCTATTATTGAACTCTAGCTGTGCGACCTGACTTGCCCCGCGATGCAATTAAGGGAGCCCTAGTAGTGAAGCCAGTAAATCCTCACCTGCCTCTTAACCTGGTTGTTTCTACAGGATACTGACGGTAATAGATCTCCCTCTCTACCACATTTCCTCAAGACACAAGTCGCGTCACCCAGAGGCGCATATATCTATTCGCGCTCAGCCAACCCTAACCGCCAGAGTATCGAGGATAACCATTGCCGAGCTCGAGGAAACAGATCACGCACCGGTATATTCATCCGGAACGGCTGCTATAGGAGCCATCATACAAGGACTGGCATCCGGGTACCATATTGTCCTGCATAGCGAGTCTTTACGGCGGAACGCACAGGTCCCTCAAGCAAGGAACACCATTATTTGGTAGCATAGTGCTATTCATCAATGACATTCAGACTGAACTGGCGAGCATCCTCAGTAATTGCGAAAACACTGTCAAAGTGGTGTTGATTGAGACGCCGAGTAACCCAACTCTATTACTGGTAGATATCCAAGCTGTTGCGAATACCGTGAACACACAAAACGGGCCCATTACCTGTAGAGGATAATACGTTCTTCTTCCCGTATATTCAGGGACTGTTAAGGTATGCGTTTGACGTTGTTTTATATTCAGTGGCTAAGTATATCAATGGACATACCGTACAAGGCCAGAAGCGTCACGATGATATGTTCACAGATTAACCGGCCGGCAGCTGAGCTTCTTTATGAACTCAGTAGAGGATATAGACACTGACTTATTACTTGGAAACCAAGAATCATTATCGGAATGACACACTCCTCTACTAGTCAAGACTTAGCATTGAGCTTGTCTTTATTTAAATCTCCCACTGCTGTTTTGCCGCTCTGACTGCAGTACATCCGGCTCGGCACAATAGCAGCTGTTGACAGTATCAAGCGTACCGTGTTCAAAAAACACTTCCTTACACTTTGCATGTCCCTTTTAGATAGAAATATAAATATTGGGTGAAAGGTATACATTGGTCGCTGATAAGTGTCATAATATTCTGCGTAACAAAGTCATGTTCATGAATAAAAGAATTTACAACGAATAAAGAAACTCATGGTTCTCCCGATCAGTGAGATCCAACCATCTAGATCCCATTAGTGACCTATACTTTCATGACAATGACAAGATAGGGACGACACTTACTCTTGATTCTCCAGTCGTACGTAGCCTGAGCTCTCCGTGATCTGGATCTTCTTCGTATTCTGTCTGCTATACCACCACCAGATGAAGGCCAAGAGAAACAAACAGACGCCCCAGCAGACAATGATCGTGATCTCGGCGGGAACATAGCGAGGCTCATCTTCGGGACGGAAGATTTGAGGACCTATACAGATGACGCTGTTAATTTCCAATCGGATCTAGGTCAAAACGACGCGGACATACCGATGATGTTTCCTGCACAGTATCCGATCAAAAATAGTGCAGCAACGGTGGTCTTCTTGGTATAACCGGCGACGTTGGAGGAGACCATCGAGAGCAAGGCCACGAATGGAGTCGGGCTTGCTTGGGTCATGTAGTAACCGATCAGACGTCCGACGTTGTTTTCCAGGGGGAGAGCAACGATGAGGATCATGCCCACTATGGCAGTAATTAGGCCGCCGGTGCTACAAAGGAGTCGCTGGCCCGTGTATTGGCCGGCGTAGCCGTTAAGAACTAGAGCGACAACCTCAACTGCACCGCCGGGAGTACCATACAGGAGACTCTGTTGGGCAGTGTAGCCAAAGCTAGTAATCTGATGGTAATTAGTCTTGAGTCTCAGTTCAGAACGAAAGGAGGTACTCACCAGCTGGTTAAAGAAGTTTGTAATACCGCCGTTGGGAATATTGGCGATAAGCGCAAAGAAGAAGAACGCCCAAGTCATGGGGTCTAGGAGTGCTTCCTTGACCTGGTAGAGCTTGAAGTGCTTGTTTCCAATGCCCTGTTGGTTTTCTCGGACGCGAGCGACAGCGAGAACACGATCTTCTTGCTTTAGCCAGCGGGCGTTCAGTTGGTTATCTGGGACTATCCAGAGGAATATAACACCAAGCACAACGGTTAATAGACCCGTGCAAAGGAAGACAATCTTCCATGGCGCGATGGCCGAGCCGTGCCTTTCTGTGCCGACTGCGATGCCGTACGCCACAAAGCCGCCTAGGATCTGGCCCCAGCCATTGAAGCTAAACCAGATGTTGACACGGCTGCTTTGTTCACTCTTGGTGTACCACTATGCGAGAAATATCAGAGCCTGTTGTTGCATGGGGGACTTGAAACGCACCTGCGAGGTCAACAGAGCAAAGCCTGGTGTAACAGAGGCTTCGAAGACACCAAGGAAGAAACTAACGAGAAATTGTCAGCCGTTGTTAGTGATTGTGGCAGGGTGTGGTCTGACCGAATAGCAATGGCTCCGGAATAGTTGCTGACAGCAGCGAAACAACAAAGAATGGCTCCCCAAATAATGATACAAGCCGCAGAGTATTTACCCAAGGGGAGGCGCTGGAGCAATCGGTTGGTGGGGTATTCCCATGCCAGATACCCTATAGTTCAAGCCGTGTCAGTCTAACCGGCAGTGTGTTTCCATATTTGGGGTCATTGTTTGACGAACCGAAATAAAATAAACTGCCTAGCCATTGATATTCGTCGCCTTGCAGGTTCAGGTCTGGTTTGAGTCCCATGACGCTAGCATAGGATAGGGTCGTTTCTGTTCAGGATTAAGGGTTACGAATGCCGAGGTTAGAGGCGAAGAACAACATACTGTCCAAATAGTTCATTCCATATACAAAACACATAATCGGCATCATATGCCAGTCAATGATTCTTAGAAGTCGCTTATTTGTTGCGGCATCGAGCTCGATCGCTTCGCCATGGAGTTCCTGAAAGGCTTTCAATGCCTCGTCTGCATCCTGGGCATGTTCTTTCAGCTCTGGATCGACGTGCCCCTTGACGTCTTTCTCCATATCGACGGTGGCAGGTGGGGAAGTCTTCTCATCCGCCATTTTTTCTAATATTTTGGTGTGGGAAGGGATAAGAGAGAGGGAGAGGACAAGAGAACAAAAAGAGATCGTAAGGGACGGTGAGAATGCCTTTACATACGTGCGGACGCCTCCTCATCCGCAGGGGTCATGGCACTAGAGGATGGAACGATTGTTATCTGAGCTGGCAGAGATTAGACTTCATCGGCACAACCACCATCCACAGATAAGCCGCCGATTATCTGGGGTACGCCAACTACTAGTCGTAGTGCGTCCACTATGACGGCAAGCTTATCGTTCATGGCCAATCCCATGCAAGCACAGCGGCTTGGGTTCCGCGTGAGTTCCGTACGTTGGAGCTTAAGAAATGAGGGGGAAAGAGGAGAAGGATAACAAAAGGCAATTGGGTGGAGAGAATAGGCGATGAGACGATTGAACCATTGGATAAGACAGCCGAGTATCTCTATCACGAGGAGACGTTAAAACTAGTTGAATACATAATGGGATGCATGATAAGATAACCACAAAGGGTAGTAGTAGTAGTAGTGGTAGGAGTAGTAGTAGTAGTAGTAGTAGTAGTATCCCCCTCACTTATCTGGCGGACATTTCCGCTGCCAAGGGAGCTTACCCTCTCCAGAGTCCAGTAGTCTCACTGGTTTGTCGATCTGCATCTGCCAAGAGGAGGAGAGAAGTAACTTTAGCACTTCCAGAGATAGGGTAGAGTAAGAGTAAATACTACCTCGTACTTTTGTTTAAATTAAATCCACTTCGGCATTCAAATATAAAGCCGACAAACATCCGGAGATTCTCGGATATAATATCGAGATCTTCCTCCGTATATTTTCTTCTTTTCCCCCGAAGTCTAGTTTGAATATCTTCCTCCAGGTCAACCAACGATTTAAGCTTATCAGTTGGACTAGTATCTCCGTATCTCCATATCTCCTTATCATCTTGACATTTTAATCCACTCACTAAAGCGATTGCAGTGGGCCTTTGCTAACTTTCCCCTTTAAGGAGCTTATCGATAACAGACCAGTAGCCATAAATTATCAATGATTGACATGTACGCGTCAACACCGCGAACAAACCAAGAAACTATATGCATATACCTTTTACACCTGATGTGTATATACCTCCACTATAAGAATTAAAGTTGTTTTAGTCTGTCGGTAAAGAGCAAGAGAAAAATATCTCAATGGGGAATTTGCAGCAATATCAGTCCTCGAATCGGTTCCCGCGGAGCCCGGAATAAACTCATCCAATAGTGAAAAAGCTTCGCTGCCTGGCATCAAGTCTAATATCTACCTACATCGCTGTATTCTAATATAGCAACTGACTGTGACCTGTCTCAAAGTATAGAAAGAAAACTCAAAGCCTCATGAGGTGATGTCTGCCAAGACAATTGCAAAGTCCACGATTGAACTTCCTCGTCCTCCCGTGTCTGTCGATAGTCAAGATGTCCGCCGAGCCACTCAGTATATTACTGGTATATGTTCTATCCCCTTGGATAGACAGCACATATTAACTTCTGGAGAACTAGGCAAGCACAACCGCATCCCTCTCACTAGATCTATTTATCCATCCCTTAGATACGATCAAAACCCGCATCCAGTCTCGTGAATACTCGCAGTTCCTGAGAACCAACACAGGAACCAGCATATGGCGACACCCAGGGATATTCCGCGGCCTTTACCAAGGCATTGCGAGCGTCACCGCTGCCTCGTTTCCCACAGGTCGGTGCTACCCAACTTCATCCTTACCCAAACTATATTCAATGATCCCAGAGTAACGAATGAAAGCGGGTGCATTTTTCATCACGTATGAGTATACACAGTCAGGGCTCCAAGTCATACATCAAAAGCTTGGAACGCATAAGTCTAGCTCAGCTCAGATCTTTTCCGATTTTTGCGCGGCCTCCGTTGCGGATCTTGCAGCTTGTGGAGTCTATGCTCCGGCTGATGCTTTGAAACATAACGCGCAGATGATCCAATCACACCAATCGGATGCATCAGCACACGTGGCTGGGGGAAAAATAGGCGGTGTAGCCCAAAAAGCAACACGATTAGCTTTCAAGAAGTTTATCAACCCTAAACAGCTTTGGAGCGGATACCCTGCTCTTGTGGCGCATAGCTTGCCAGTGTCGGCAATTCAGATGCCTCTGTACGAGACTTTTCGGTGTCGCATTTCTGAGTATAGATTTGGAACTCGAGAGGAGGTGTCGGAAAGGCCAAGAGGTTATGGAAAGAAACAGACCCATTTGGCATTGGGCGAGGCCGCTGCGACAGCCGCGATTAGTGCTGCAGTGTCTGGCGGTATAGCCAGTGTCCTGACAGCACCAATGGATATGGTCCGGACACGAATCATGCTTGATGCGGCAGACATAACCGTGCCGCAGAAGAAAAAGATGATCAATACCGTTCGAGAGGTCGTACGAACGGATGGCCCGAGGGGCCTATTCCGAGGGTGTGCTATCAACACGTTCATGGCGGCCGTCGGATCAGGATTATACTTTGGTCTCTACGAGAGCACCAAGTGGTGGCTAGGCTCTGACTCGATGGAGCACCGTGCTATGTTAGAATAGGGGGCGATGGGAAATCTTGTATATAATGATGTTTGTTTGTACGATAGTGGCTGACTGTATATTAGTGATACCCCACTCTAAGAAAGTAGATCAATCTCCAGCAACATCTTCTCGGAAAATCCTGTCTTGACTACAGTTATCTGTGGATCGCGCAAACTGCTAACTGTCAGGTTACGTCAGTCCACCTCTAAGTGTATTGACCCTGCTAGGGTAAAGTAAGTTCGGTGGATGTACCCACAATTAGTCAACATTGACTTCCTGTACTTGTTGTTTTGAGACTCGCGAAATTAGAATATGAGGCGAGAAAGTTAAGTGCCAGATATACGACAACTGCCTTTGAACTCACCTAGGCAGAAATTGTGAGTGACTACAAACGGGTCGGTCAGGGTAGATCAACTACTTAGCCCTGATCTAAGCTGACTACAGCCTATATCGTAAGGGTTGGTTCAGACAATGTCCACCCCTGACTCTAACTTTGAGTTTGTCCATATACTGAGGTAGGTGTCTTACTCATATGGAGAGGGTATCTCTTAGCATCGGCCGATCATAGATCCATAGTGGTCATTTTGAGTGCTAAATTTATCATTCGGATCATACTTGCGAAATATTGCCATTAAGAAGCACATATCAGCTATCCCCTAATTATTGCGCGCCAACACGCTTCATGTATGCATCCCATCCCTCCTTCTGGTACCGCCGAGCCGCCTCTACGGGATCGGGAGCAGCATAGATTCCGCGGCCAGCAATGATAAAGTCGGCACCGCGTCCAACAGCTGACTCAGGAGTTTGATACTGCTGTCCCAACTTGTCTCCCTTCGACGAGAGGTTGACACCCGTCGTGAAGACGACGAAGTCCTCATCCTCCGAGGGCGAGCTAACTTCGGACTGAACCTCCCCCAGGTGACGCGTCGAGACAAATCCCATCACGAACTCCTTATACTTCCGAGCATAGTCAACAGAAGAAGTGGTATATTGACCGGTAGCCAAAGATCCCTTAGATGTCATCTCCGCAAGGATCAAAAGACCCCTCTCAGAGCCGTAGGGGAAGTCCTCGGCCGAAGCAGTCTGGGCCAGAGCCTCGACGATACCTTCACCAGGCAAAATACTGCAGTTGATAATGTGGGCCCACTCAGAGATGCGTAGAGTGCCACCATGGTACTGCTTCTGGACTGTGTTTCCGATATCGATGAACTTGCGATCTTCGAAGATGAGGAAATTGTGCTTCTCTGCAAGGGCCTTCAGACCGGTGATGGTTTCTTCGCTGAAATCGGAAAGGATGTCGATGTGAGTCTTAATCACGGCAATGTATGGGCCGAGTCCTGTTATACATTCCACCATTAACCATTACTAGATCATATGTAAGTAGCATCCCTGGTGCGCATACGGTCAGCCAAATCCAGCAACTCTTTGGTGGTTGTCACGTCAGCGGAAACGGTGACATTAGTTTTCTTGGCCTCGGCAACCTCGAAGAGCTTCTTTACGAGGGCATTGGGATGCTTGCTAGCGCGTGCGCTGTAGGTCAATTGCGACTTGGAGGACATGTTGGCAATGGAGGGGTAGCGCGGGGTTCTGCAACTAATGTATAAATGGGCACTCAGCGGTTGAAACCGGCTTATTCAATAAAACTAGTACTCCAAGTGTTCAGTAAGCAAGCAAAATAATCAGGATGTCAAATTAATAACTCAAACTTGTGGAATGAATGGTAAGTACAACCTGTACGATAATCGCCGCGAAAAATTAAATTGGATCTACTATGGAGGGGGGAGTCATGCACTAGCCACAGGTTTCCTCCGCCTGTGGGGTGAGCCACATGCCTCATCTGGACCAAACACATCAGCGCAGTCACATGCAGATAAGATTAGGGCCTATTCTTAGGGTTGCCGTCCGCGGGGGTCACTCAAGCAAGATACCCTATACTAGTTCAAAATAATCATCATAAACAAACCTGACTAAAGAGGTTGCTGTAATTCAAATTGCCCGAGACTTCAATATTAACTATATAGCAGCTCTCTGCGAGATTCGCATCGATATGACATGCCACTAGCCTAGGAATAGATATTTCAGTGCCTTGTGGGAGCCTAGAGGCCATGCCTGCAGCCTGGCTTTTTATGAGTGCTTTTTGTGCCCTTCCAAGGACATAGCAATAAGGCCAACTCTATCAGCCATAATAATATCAATACCAGCATTGGCTTGGGCCTGGAATGTTTCCTAATTAGTGAACACCTTCTATATCGGAAATTGAAAACACTGAGAATCAGGATAGATACACCTACCTTCGCATTTTCTGGTATATTGTTCTGAGATCCATAGGACCCACAGATCAATCCTGATTCTTGGACATATCTGACAAGTCTGGGGCACATTACTAGCGCCTCAGACGCAAATACAAGTCCAGATAATTTCCACCTTCTGGCGAATCGAACAGCGGATTGTATGCTAGCGGCCCTCAATTCTCGATCCGCAACTGGAGGCTTGCCGGCATTAGTGATGAACATCACAGGGTACGTCTGTTGTTTAATGGCCAATAATATGCAGATCTCAGGGGTAAATGAGGATAGGATAATAGTCCGTTTCTTGTTGCCATAAGAAAAGAGTTTCTCAAGCGCTTTGTCGATGAAGGTATTGATTTCAATAGCCACCGGTGCTACACCGGCATCTATTGCTTCATGAAGCCTAGGGTACTCTTCATTGGGACGTTATTAGCCCTGTCTCTTACAAGTTGAGAACCACCAGTAACAAAAAATAACATACTTATCTCAATATTGAAGCTGATTGACTCAGGAAGCTCTTCAAGCAGTTCTTCCAGTGTCGTGAAGGAATCTTGGATAAAGTCACCTCTGGTATTAGGCTTGAACCCCTTGCTAACAAAGTCAACTGTATACTTCATTCTATGACGAACTTCCCTAGTTCCTCTCTCATGATCTTTAGTTAATGATCGAGATCGTGGCTTGGCCGAAATAATCTGGTTGGACATAGGCTGTGCATTCGCTGCTCCAAGTACAGATACTGGATCCCCTCGTGGCGACTGGATGTTGCTTGCGTGCATGAACTTTGGCGGGTGAGAAAAAGTTCGAAATAAGCCCAGAGATACTGACCTGATCAAGATTTAAATCATGAATAGGGATGTCGGTTCCTGACTCGCTCAGAGAAAAGTCATGGTATATGACGGGCACGAGGTCTCTTGTTAACTGCACATCTGACCAAACTTTAGTGCGCATGCAAGGTATGATCCGTGGGATCTTGTATTACCAAACTGTCATAGTTGTTATTCGGGTTTGCTCCATATATCAATAAACCATTCTTACCTCAACAATTGAGGCGCCTTGCTTTGAAGCCAAAAGAAATGACTAGATCCCATGTTAGGTAGGCAATGCTCTGATTTCAAGTGGTTCTAAAAGTGTTGCCTACCTCTATGGTATTTTCCCCTATCTGGAGATAATGGCGGCTGGCTGTGTTTTGTCCGAGACCTGCCTACACGTTACTGGTCTATCGTAGAGAAGGAAGAAGTAATAATATAGCACATACCTCTATGACCAACCAGCTGCACCCCTTCTTCAGTGACGAGGGGTCTGCCTAAAGGACCGGCACGGTGGGATATTAGCTTAGAGATAACGAAAGTGAAAGTGACCTTTCCGAGAACGTCAAGTGTGTCTTTCTCGAGGATAGGTACGGTGCGTTCTCTGATGAGGCTTTCACGGTTTTTCCCGAAATAATCGCTGGAGCTTCCTATCAGAGCCGTACCACCCCCCAAAAGGTTACGTCCCTTTGTCAAGGTAGAGCTAGCTTGGAGTAACTTGAAGGATATCCAGGCTCTGTCTGGATCTGTAACAGGAAAAATGAAAGGTTCGTGGGTCATATCAGTCAATAAAGGTAGCTCTACAAGCTGGCTTTTGCTTTCCCTCTCTGAGGTTGAAATTTCCATCAGGAAGCCAGCATTCATGGCGATTAGCTCCGTTGGGGAGCGATCTCTCAGTTCAACAGCCTTTACCTGCTTTCCGCTTTGTAGGACACCCAAATTGATGATTAGGTAGTGACAGTCAGTTCTAAACGGCATAGTGTTTTGAAGAATTGGCTGCATAAATGTGCTAGCAGGACCACCGAGAGGATCCTCAGTATCCAATGAAGTGAGCATCCCAGCTAGGGTGAGATGGCCTCTTACTGCGGCATGCTCTTTTGCCGTCCACCCGGAATAATCATGAACGTCCTGTTTTGCTGCCGCATTCAAGAGAATTTTGGCCACGGCGTGGTGACCCTCCACACATGCAATGAATAAAGGAGTCCAGCCATGCACAGTCTCTGGGGTATCAAGGTCTGGATACCTTCCATGCTCAAGGAGTATATCCACATATACTTCATTTCCACTACGAGCCGCAACATAAAGAGCTGTCTCTCCATGACTAGGTTCGCCATGAGATTCTAGGGGAAATTTGGCAAGCAGGCGGACTAGGTCATCATACTGGTGTTTGATTGCAATGACAAGAAGATCATTCAGGATACAAATCAAGTTATGGTTCCTGGCTTTGTCACTTGTTTGCCTCATTGGTTCGAGAGCTTTCAAAAAAGCTTTTGTGACCAGTGCATGGTTGTTGATCACTGCGTAGTGCAGTGGCGTATATCGTTGAGAATCCAAGGACATGATGAGGTGTTCGGGATACTCCTGACCCGACTTTTGAGAAAAGTCCAATAGTAATTCACAGATATCTGGTAAGCCGTAAATTGCACTGTAATGGAGTGGAAGACGCCCAAAAGCATCCTTTTCCAATAAGACGCTCTTTTCGCCGAGCGCAAGTTGCTGAACGACCAAGGAGAACAAGTTACTCTCTGGCTTACCACAGAAGTCTCTAGAGCTGCACTGAGAACACATCTTTGATGTAGTGTGCTCTCCAGTGGTTAGTTGCCGACCAGAAGTGATAATCATTCGGTTCAGTATCCTATGGTCTGGCGTAATATGATATTTGGGGAATGCTTCTGAAAGCAAAAGGATAGCAGACCGCTTAGAACGATAGATTACTGAGCGCCCTGCTAAACCACAGACAATTTCCTGGAAGCATTGTCTCGTTGTGGCATTACTCGAGTACATCTCGTCCAAAACCTTGGATAATTCTTGGGCATCGTCGTTCATCACAGCATGATCCAAAGCTCTGATAGGGTCACTGGAAGGAGAGTGATGGCTGGAGACATTTTCCAGACAAGATTTGGTGTTTGAATAAAACTTCATATCAGAACGGATTTGGATGATGCTGCCCATCAGTTCATTTAGACTTCCAGTATACTTCAACCATGATACATCTCGATCAGCCTCCAACTTGACCCACTTCGCTTTAGGACCTCCATCAATCTCCCCGGTTGGGTGGCTAATCTTCGCGAATTAGGCAAGCACTCTCCGGACTGCTTCTTTGTTGACTCGATAATACCATTGCAACTTTTCTGAATCCTTACGAAGCTCTAGCACTGCCTTAAAGACGTTCTCTAACTCGCAGAGGCTTGAGCATCTTGCTCCTGTCAAGGTGTTTGCTTCTGGATCCAATCGTTTGGAAATCTCCTCTCTTCTTTGCCTCAGGAGAACATAATTCTCGTGATGAAAGTCGCTGAAGCAATGGATGCTACATTCAAGGCGGCTATATACGTCTACAACGAATGTTAATGATTTTCCTAGGGTACAGAAGATAGTAACGGACCTGCGAAATCTGGTTGTCTCTCTGTAAAGTCGACTGTTCTGATAGCTGTCTTTAACAGCCTTTTCAGTAAGGGATAAGGCACATAATATGGCGCCCACTCCGGCACCTGATATTGATGGTAATTCAGTCCGAATCGCATGATCACTTTGGACAATGTAGAGCAGTAATAGTAGGTAATAAGAAGATCCAGCTAACGAAAAATGGAGTTACATGTGAATCATCAACATCTCGGTACCTCAATAATTTCACATGTGTTACTGCGGGACGCAAGAGCTTTTAAATAAAAGGAATCCAGTAGCTCAGAAAGTGGATTGCTTTAGTAGCTGCGGTAGCGTTTATATATATAAAGAAACTGACTAGGGTACCCTGATCCTTTACCGGATTGGATGAATCCCCTGCTACTTTCTGTCAATAAATGTTTAGATCGGGACTGTAGCGCTAACTGAATATAGCTTACTATTGCCTTGTACTAGACATGACGAGCCCTGATGTCCGTAGTCTTTTGTGCAGAGAGACCACCTATAGGTAGCACTATCGCACTTATCCCTTGAGTGTTCCAAGAGGAGGCTTAGCGATCAAACTTGCTGCTTATTGCCTCGAGAGCTACCTTACGTCTCCGTTATCAAGCCCTAAGCCATTTAAGTCCGCGGTGGCTCAGATTATAGGGGCATAGAAAGAGGACACTTCGATGCAAACCCGGATATCTTGAACATATCACTAGTTTTAGAGATGTGACACGATCTAAATAATCTATCAGTGGAGGAATCGATAAAAAGGTAGACTATGTGTGGTAATAATCATTTTTTAGAGTGACGATGGAGATAACTTCGACAAGTCATCAAGATTATAGTGAGCCCTGTCTTCCTAAGATTTTAAAAATGTTTACTAGTGTTTCTCACGATCTCAATGGCAAATTCAGAGGATTATTTTACAACGAGGCAGTATTGTCCAAAACCGCAATGATACAGTCACTTACAAATAGTTGGTGTTTAGAAAGAAATTAGATCCCTCCCAACGCCGAATACACTCAGCCCCCACAGAGCGCCCTGCACGAGCCAGAAAAATCCTCCAAGGAACCTTCCCTTACCCTGCGGCTTGCCCGAGTACACGTAGCCGTACAAGAAAAGCGAGCGAGCTACGAGCCAGCCGGCGCCAAGAGCGGTAGCCAGCTGAGGGTATTTCAGACCTGCAACAAGAGTAAAGAGCATGGTCTGGGGAGCATTTTCGAGGAAGTTGGTGTGCGCGCGCTGGGCGCAGTTGAATTGTTCCGCTTTAGCCTGTCGGGGCATATTCTGTTAGCTCTTATCGAGGTTGCCTATGTCTGTGCGACAATATATTCTGAAAGTCGTGGTAAGTGGGACAGTGAGGGGAGAATGGAGGTCTTACATTCGATTTGCACTGTTCGACAGTCGCATAGCTGTGAGGGTAGGGAACTTTAGCTTCCTGGCGAAGACCCGACACAACCATTCCATGGAGAAAGCTGAGCACAGGGATAGCTCCAAGCGCGACGCCAATAACGGCGCTAGAAGCTCACAGTTAGTCAAAGATGGTCTGTTGCCTTCTGGAAATGGGGCGAACTTACCCGTAGTTGTCAGGGACGGTTATCGCGACCATTGTGAAGTGTAAATTAAATATTAATCAAGGGTAGACGGTCGATTGATCTTTTGGTTGTTTTTCGGGGTACGGTGGGATCTAGAACCATAAATAGTGCTGATTTCTTGACGTCAGGAACTCGGAAAAGTTGATTTCCCATTCGGAGTCCCGACGAACCGACCTCCGTTTGCTCACTAATTATTTGGGGCCGTCCTTTCTCGTAGGCTCTACGACACGAAACGATGCATAATACTGAACCTTAACGTGCTTTTCAGGCGCAGGTGACAGCCAATCATAGCATACTTCAAGAGACGGCATCTATATGAGATACGTGTACTTTCCCGTCACACTCTACTGAGGGACTCTGAGAACAACTTGACCAGGATGATAACTACTGTGCCTGATTTGAGAAAGGGTGGGCCGATTGAACACCTCACATCTATCGTTGTTATATGTATCACAAGAAAATATCATCCCTGGGTCATTTTGCTAACGCTGCCATACTTCGCCTGCCAAGCGAAGAAATACAGCAGGGCCCCTAAAGGTTGTCCAACGACGCAAAAGCTAACCCAAAATATTGAATTCCCAATTACCTTCCCCGAAGGATCTTTCATCTTTTCTAATGGGGCGGTGATGGCGATCAGTGGAAGCTGGAACAACATTCCTACGAGAGCGACACCTTGTTATCGGTTAGCTTGAAATAAATATGCATAGGGTATGCGCGATTCTCGGTACCTATCATATTATGCGTAGGGATTCCCACAAGCAGTTCGTGCAGAAGGGCCGAAACTAGAAAGACAACAGTGCTTGCCGTCAAAGGACTATATCCCCGTCCAATCAGAGGCGAGTACACATGCCTCTTCATGAAGAGATAGACAGGCCTGTTCCAAGATCGCCAGTACATACCAAGACTGGAGCTGTTCCACCAGTCAAGATAGAACTCTCGGTCTCCAAACCGCAACACTTCAGCGAGGGCATTCAAGAATGACTGGAAAAGAGCGAAAAAACCAGCAAGCCAAATGATGAGGGAGATGGTAGATAACTTCATCACTCGCTCAAAAATGGAAGCAATGTCCATGACAGCGATTTTGTCAATCGAGTTTCGCAGCACAGGAGCAGCGTACTGGGCAGAGAGAAGCCATATGAATATAGACAAACTTATAAATTCGAACATTCGCTTGCCCACAAATGACCATCGGATTTCGGGTGACCGGGGATAAACTGGCTGATAAACCAGCGTAGGTGCCAACCAAAAATACACCAAATTCCCAAGTGTAATATTCCGTGGATAAGGGCACGAGGAGTAGATCTCAGGAAGGGCGGACTCCGCGGATGGATTAAGCATCGCTTCGCGGAGATCACGATTGGTGAATGCATATGACCAATTTTTGAGCGCTACAATAATCGCATGAACTTCGCAGAGCGTCCCGATCCCTGGGTGATGGATGTAATAATAAACGACATAGCTCGTCACCGCAAGGTTCAGCAAGGTATTGAGGATATGAAAAGATAAGGCGAACCGCCAAATCGTCCGGAATTCACGTTGTTCACGCTCGCCTTCCTCAGCTGATTTGTCTTTCTTCTTCTTTCGGCCAACAGTTTCTTTGACCCGTCTTGCTACAGCCAACTCAAGAATGTATGCAATAAACAGCTGACAAGGGACAATGACAAAGAGCATTGAGCCAAGAACTACATCTTGTTTCCGGTAGTCATGGCATCTAATGCAAATGAGGACCCCATACTATGCGATGAAACGTTCAGCTCTATTTACCCCAAAGAACTTAGTTCTACGATAACACTTACTTTCATAGAATTCTCAATAATCAATCGGAGGTTCATCGCCACTAATCCAGGGGGAGAATATCAGCTTCATAGATCACCAAGTTACCCTAGAGGAAAACATCGTACCCAGGACGATCACCATCAAATTTCGGAACCCGAGGAAACTAGTCGGAACATTGGACTCTCGGCTTAGGCTTGAGTGTTGCAACTTCGAGTGGTAGGCTGCCACATGCCGATACTTGCTCCTCCTTTTGCTTTTAGGCACTCCGCTGGCATCGCCCGTAGGAAGTGAAGGTTTAGTGCGAGAAGAACCGTTCATGGCTTCAGAAGATGAGGACGAAGCTGCGCCGCGGATATTTACATCGCTGCTTGACGCAGATGCCTTCTCTGTCACGTCCATCTTCATATAATCTCGGAGAAACCCGGCAGTAATCCACAATGAACACACAATGACCGAAAACAAAAAAAATGAATAAAAATAAAACCAGAACCACGGAAGGGCTGGCAAAGCCGCGTGGAAGCGACAGCGTCGATTGTGAGGTCAATTGCGGGGATAGCTTAGAATACAGGATAACAATCCCAGCGACCGGACCAGAGAAGAGTTGATCATGACAGGGCAATTGAGGGTATTTATAGCATGAAAACAATGAGACAAGCCAGGAGCAGCACAGCGGGGCTGGCAAGGACGCATTGCAACGGTGATTTAAAGCAAAGGCCTCTTGAGGCGACCGGGGGTTGAGAGAGCCGTTTGGTGCTAATCATTACTTGCTCTGCCGCTTAGTGTCTCGCGGCCAATGATCATCACCGCCGCGCGCTCGGCCCAAAGTCAAGTTGCTTTCGCTCCCATTCAAATCATCAACCACGTTCACGACGAGAATCCATCCACTCTACTCCGTACCAGCCGCATGCACGCTATGGAAAGGCCGTTCTAGCTGAAACCCCTGTCACCTCATTTGAGGGGTTGTTGTTTGTCATTCGCTCCGCTTTACCTTTCACCCGGTCAATGGTCGCAAACTTCCGTAAGCTTCTTTTCCTTTACAACCGAGAATAGCTTGCTTGTGATGGCATTTTACGACGAATCTGGGGCCGACTCCCAGCCATTTGGAAGACCTCAAAAACCCTATGAGGGTGGAATTGTGGGACCACGGCGACCACGTACGTTCATTTCTTTGATTTGAATTTTGTTTCCCCTCCAATATACCCATCTCTTTTCTTTTCCTGTTCATTTTGTTACCCCATCGTTCAACAACTGTGCAAAGCTAATAGCGTCCAATTTAACAGGACTTGTCACTGATTATGGATCGTCACTCGTACAATGGATGCGCACACGGCGCCCAACATACAAGGGCGGCCACCGAATGGAGACAGAAAGGCCAAGTGCAAGCTACGTAGTTGATGTAAACAGCTATACCCTCCCTTGAAGACGTCGGCTAACTCACTTCCCTCATTGCAGATGCTGCCCCCGTTAGCACGAATTCATTCACCTGTGGATACCATCCCCGTACGGCACCTACACCAATCCATTGGAAAGTCAAAGAAGCCGATCACAGTCGTAAGATGGACCCCAGAAGGGAGGCGTTTATTGACGGGTGGGCACACTGGAGAGTTTATGCTATGGAATGGAACAGCATTCAACTTTGAGACTGTGATGGATGTATGGCTTGACCTCCCTTTTTTTTTCCTTAACTGTTTCAGTCTTCGATTTGCCTGGATCTCTTCTGACCAAGGAGATAGGCGCACTACGACCAACTGCAAGCTGGAGTTACTTCGTTGGCATGGTCCCACAGCCATGACTGGTTAATTTCGGGCGGACAAAAAGGTGATATAAAATATTGGCGGCCTAATTTCAACAATGTCGAAACCATTGATGATGCGCATCACGATGCGGTTCGAGATCTTGCGTGGTCTCCTAGCGATACGAAGTTTCTCTCCGCTTCTGACGATACGACCCTAAAGATCTTTGATTTCACCTCAAGAACCGCCGACACCGTCCTTACGGGTCACAACTGGGACGTCAAATCATGCGATTGGCACCCTACGAAAGGACTTCTTGTCTCTGGTTCAAAAGACCACCAAGTCAAGTTCTGGGATCCCCGCACGGCAAGATGCTTGACAACACTCCATAGTCACAAGAACACAGTAACCGCGACGCGGTTTTCACGTGTGAATCAAAACCTTCTCGCAACATCTTCTCGTGACCAGACGGCCAGGGTTTTCGATCTACGTATGATGCGGGACATTTGTATTCTTCGTGGACATGAAAAGCCTGTTTCTTCTCTAACATGGCACCCCATCCACAGCTCACTTATCTCGACGGGGAGTGAAGACGGTTCGCTGTACCATTACCTTCTTGACGAGCCAAACGTGCCCTCTGGACAGATTCCTACAATAGCACCTTACGACAGTCCGGACCCTGCGAACACACCTGCGCAAGTCATCTACCCGGCCCACCGGGTCCAGTATGCACATAGCGCTACAATTTGGTCACTGGATTGGCATCCACTAGGCCATATACTTGCATCCGGCTCGAAAGACAACTTCACACGGTTTTGGTCTCGAGCAAGACCGGGAGAGACTAGCTACATGAAAGATAGGTTCCACATAGGGGAAGAGGCTGCCGAGGCCCAGGGAACTTGGAGTAGGGGTTTCGGAAGACGACAAATGCGCGAGGAGGAAGAACAAGAATTACAGGATGAAGCCGAGAGCCTCGTTGATCAGAGGAAGCCGATCGGGTCTGTTCTTCCTGGAATACAGATCGCACCTCCTGGCGGGACGCCTCACAACGACGGGCTAGGCTCGCAACTGCTGCCAGGTATTGGTGCTCCACAACCACCCCCAGCACCACCAGCAGGAATACCTTCATCGATGCCTCAGATGGATCCCAACCGCCTAGCCGCTCTTTTGTCTACCCAAGGCCCCCATCAACCCAATAATATTCCTCCAAACACGGGACTGCCTGGATTTCCCATGCTTCCTGCCCTCTCAGGAACACCACCTGCCAATGTTGACCTTGCAGAGCTTCAAAAGCAGCTCATGTCACAGGGCATTCCACTACCACAGAATTTCGCTCCCCAACAATTTTCTCCCCTACCGGGTACCGGAGGCCTTCCTGGTTTGCAGGGTAGCAATACGCCCGACAATCCTTATGGAAGATGATGTGCATGTTTTGAGTTGGCCTAGGGGCGATTGGCGCAATGGCAGATAGCTTGTTCGGGTTTCTGATAGCATCGGCATGTGTTTGAAGAGTATCACATAATTCCTCCGGCTGTATTATAAATCGGTGTTTAAAAGGACTTTTTGACTCGCTCGATAGAGAGTAAAAATCGCATGCACAGTGCACCACGTTCTTCGTGTATAAATGCCAGTATTTGAGGTATGATTCAAGTCTCAAACCCATGAAGGGCACATTGTGCGAAGGCGTATCCCCTTGCTCCGTACGGATTACAGTCCACCTTGCATAGGAAAGCTCGATAAGATTAGGACCAGCATGTTGATGCCACCCCATATCATGGGAATCCACGTCGACATCCTAAAATTACCGGCTTCGTAAACGGAACCCAGACTGCTTCCCATATTAGCTTCATAGTTCGGATATAGCTTTTGGAACCCCATGTATACTTACACTAAACCAATAATACTCCCAGCTAAAAGCGCCTCTAATCCTGCTATAATACCGTACACTAGTGGTATAGCAATACAAATCCGCCAGCTTCGGCCTTGCATCGCCAGGGCCCAAGCGGCCACTGACAAATGGCTTGCCAGGTAGAATATCAGGGTCCAATAGAGCGTGAACCGCCAAATGTCCCGGGTATAGTATAGGTAGTAGACGGCAGCATTTGGTCGCGGAAAGGGATCATAGAGCGATGGGAACGCCGGTGTCTGGTAGTTGATCGGGACACGGTTGTCAGTCATTTGTCCTGACAAAGGCTTGTCGCCTTGTCAACAGGGGCAGCTGCACGAAAGAAAGTCAACTACCATGGTACCTAGCGTAGTGGGGACAGGCTAAGCTTAGTGGTATTACGGAGCGTAGAATGTAGCCATTCTGATCACGGGAGTCATCTTAGGTTCTAGCTCGGAGTTATGACCGGTTTGCATTGTTTGCCTCCGTGCTCCCAACCTCGGCAGGTGATCCGGGGTCCTCCGCGGGTAACTGATAGCGCTGGAGACCTGTTGTTCTACTCCAATTGCCGAATACGACGGCCCTTTGGCAGGTGTCATTGTATCTTGTGCTTTGCGTGCTCCTACCCTCAAGTCTAGCATTTCTGTGATCTAAGATGGCATCAGCGCGCTCTCTGGGTCGTCTTTTACGGTCGCTCCAATCTCCATCAGAACTTCAAGATGCGTTTGCGTATGATAATACCCGCTTTATCACTCCGATCAAGGACCTTACTGACAACTCTTCTTCAGTCTGCTCCCCACGGCTACCGGCCTCTTATCTGTACTCGCAAATCCTTTGAACATTAGTTTGCTTGCATCACAACTGCTTGTAGCCCCTTCTGTCTGGGATCATGCAGTCGACCTCCACGCCTGCCGGAAGATACTCAGTGTATTCAACACTGCCGCCATGGCCATCATCCGAAACGAAGAATCCGATGACCCAAGGATACCATACACTAAGCCTGTGAAGATAGAGCGAGAAGCATGGGTCAAAGCTGTTGTCAGTGGGGCGGACGAGAAATCTCCGCGTTGGAGGCATATGCTTCTAATTGGAGGAGTCCTTCTTGGCTTTGAAGCACAGGATAGACAAGGCTTGCCCCTCAGTGTCCGTAAAAAGCTTGAGTCGGCTCTTGTAACTGCTGCTCAGCTTGCTATTGAAGAGCTAGACCCCCACAACAAGATCGACGGTCTTTGCATAACCATGGTCTTGAATTATACGTTTCCATTGTTGTCCGACTTGGAGAGGAGCAACCTTAACTACGACCGACTATTGCCGGTAATCATGGATGCGACGTTTTCATCACTGGAGGGTCTCGACGGAGGGTCCTTTCTAGGGACAATTGATAAAGATATTGTTGAGGCACCGGGGAAGCGCTTCCAATGGTCCGCACAATCCGATACTTTCGTCCGTGTGGCAGCAATTTCCTCCAGCCCCCTCATCTCGGCGCTAGGGCCGCTATCCAGACTGATTGCACATGCAATTGAAAATGCGCATGACCCGAGACTCATTGCGCAATCAGTTGATCACATTGCGGACTTTGCCCGCACAGTAATGATCCAGTGGCGCCAGAACAAGCTATCTGAAGTTGACAAGGCCGAGGAAGCCGACTTCTTGGATGCGGAATCATTGAAGACAACTATCCCAGGCTTATGGAAACTACTCCGCAATAGCTTGTATTCGATCGTGATTGTCCTTCGAGCTATTCTTGGGAGAGTCATAAACGATCATGTTTTAGCTGCGAACAAAAGTTAGTGTCATACAAGTTATATATCGATGTCTCCTTCAGCTAACCATACTTCAGGTGCACCTTTCCTATCGATGCAAGCGCTTCACATACTCCGCAATTTGTATTTTATTACGTCTCGTATTGGACAAAACACCTCGTCTCAACATATGTTTGTGACTTTGACGGCGGTGGACATTCTCGCCCAATATCCAGATCTATGTGAGAACTTCTTGAGAAGCATCAAGCCAAATGAGCTCGGCCAAATACCCGCCCATCCCCTTGAGAGGTGCCTCGACCTATACTTTTTGAATACGTCAGAACTTTTCACCCCCGTGTTGTCTTCGAAATTCAGCGAAGATGTTCTCGTTTGCGCCGCGGTTCCCTACTTACCCGCTGGGGGAGATAATAATCTTCTTGAAATTTTCGAGGCTGCACATAGCGTAGTTCTCGCTGTGTTTGCAATTCCAGGGAATGCGCAGGTAGCAGCCAAACTTCTTCCTTTCTATATTGACAATCTTTTTGCTGTAAGCTAGGTCTAAACACTATGAAAAATCGGGTACTGATCCAGCTTTCCAGGTGTTTCCTGACAATCTGTCCATCCGCCAGTTCCGCCTCGCTTTTAGGACTGTCCTCCAAGTTACCGCTCCTCCGTCGCCAATTGCAAATACGCAGCGTCACCTGCCCTCTGTTCTCCTTGAAGTCCTTCACGACCGGGCCCTGCACGCCTCGAACAAGGTCCTACCGCAACCTGCTGACAGTGGAGCTGGATTAGAAACCAGCAAGACGCCACCGCTCTCGGAGCAAGCCGCTCTCACACTTTCTTTAATCGATGGTTTGAGCTTCCTTCGGGTGGAAGACTTAGAAGAATGGCTGCCCTTGACGGCCCAACTGATCAATACCATTCGTGAGTCTGAGATGCGAACCGCCTGCGTTGAACGGTTCTGGCAGGCCTTGAGTAGTGGCGAGATGGATGTCGAGCGGGCATGTTACTGCGTAGCCTGGTGGAGCACTAAAGGTGGACGTGAACTCGTTCTCTTTGGAAACGATCTCGGTGCTACTGAATCGGAAGCCCATGGTCCTTATATGAGTGGTGCAGTTGGAGGAGTTGCGCCGGAAAGAGAGAGTAAACTTTGAGTTCTCTGATGGTTTGTACATATTATGGGATTTCCTTCCGATCTAGTCGTTGTAGCGCATGGCGTTCGGTGTAGCATGTGATACCATCGCAATTTTATACAGCTGCCTGTCAAGGCAGATGTCATTTCTGTACAGTCTATAGACATATAGCATTCAAACCAGCACTTCAAGCAAAATCATATAATCAATGGATGCCTGGAATTCCCACCCATGACCTCTTCCTATACTCAACGTAGTCATCTCCGAAAAAGGCAATTAAGAACTTCTCTTCCCCTAAACACAAATCCACATTAGTACCAACACACCACACATGTGAGCAAAGAAAGAGACGGGAGAACAAAAGCTTACGAAAGATCCGACTAGAGAAGAACCTCCACAGCACCAGGGTATATCCGATAAAACAAACCACATTCCCCAATACCAATTGCGTCCCTAATCCCCACCAAAAGAACCCAAAGTAGCTAGGATGACGCAGCACGGCATAGATACCACGCGTAACGAGACTATGATCCTCCTTCCGCTCGACCTGCACTGTATGGTTGAAGTTACTCCCCGCCTGCACCATCGCCAACGTGCGAACGACCTGGCCAATAATCATTAGGATGAGGCCCAACGCAACCTGAATCTTTAGGCCTGGTGCGAGAACTCCCCAGTTCAGGTAGGCGGCGGTCGGCCAGAAGCGCTGGGCCAGGAGACATTCCAGCGCGGCGGAGATGTGTGCGACATTGTATGCCCAGCCATTGGAGGAGAGGAGGAAGGCGGAGATGTTAGCATAGCGGGTGTTGTATGCAGCTGTTACATAGTATTCGAGGAAGTGAAAGAGGGCGAGGGAAGCGAGGAAGAATGGGATACGCCAAAGGGGGGTTTCGAGGAAGCGGATGACAAAGGTCAGGGAGACGGAGAGGCCGAGGGTGGTGCCAATTAGGAATGCACGTAGTGAGATTCCAGCGAGAGACTTTTTGCCGTTGGGGTAGTTGGAGGGGTCGAGAGGGGGAGGTGGTTTTGATGTTGAGGTAGGCATCGTTGCTGCTGCTGGTCTGGAGGAGGTCCGGTCGATAGAGAAGGAGGAGCTCGATTTGGGTATTATAGGGTCCATAGGAATGGAAGAGGATGAAGGGATTGTATTTTGGGTCATCCCTTTTGTCTAATATGAAATTTGACTGCTTTCCCCGTGCTTTAGAGTTCCGCAACAGCTGCAGTTGTGAAAGGAGACAGGGGTGATGAATTGGCGTCGCAGTAGAAGAAGTAGAGAGAGAGAGAGAGAGAGAGAGAGAGAGAGAGAGAGAGAGAGAGAAAGAAAGAGAGAGATTTAATGTGTCATGATTGAGGGAAAATACAACAATGAACTTGCGCTACTGAAACATCTCATAGAGAGGATGTTGCAACTAAAGAATACATACAAGAACAATGTGTCGGATGGAGAACAATATGAATTAATGAATATTCAACTTTTCGCCATAAATTAATTAGTTTGTCTGGTTGGTCTTAATTTACCAAACTCCCGGCGCCAGACAAAGAAAAAGTCCATGCACAAACCCCCCCCGCGCCATTAGTGAATTATGCGATAGACACACCTAACTAATCAACCAAATTATCTTTGAAAAATCTATTGGAATCAACTAAATTCTTTGAAAAATGGACTCTGAAGAAGCCCGATTAGCCAACCGGGAGAAGATGCGACAGGGGGAGCTCTATTACGCCTTTACTCCGGATTTAATTGCTGCTCGGTCTCGTTGTACGAGAGCTTCTCGCCGCTTCAACAACGCCGAGGATGTCTCTCGTCGACGTCTTGTAGAGCTTTGGAGAGAGTGAGTACGGGAAGCACTTGCACAAGGAATCCTTGCATACGCAATCCATACTCAATCTTCCTCTATCTGTTGTGTGTGTTCCATATAAGATAGACGTCTTTATACTCTCATCGTTGCGACAGCCGACCCATAAACCAAAGTTGCGCTACCACACGAGATACTGACTATGGTCCAGTCTTGTCCAGGACAAAACCCCTCTCCCACCCCTCAAGGGCGACCCAGAAGAAGATGAAGCTCTCTTCGAGAATGAACCATGGATCGAGGCTCCCATCCGAATGGACTATGGGTTTAATGTGAAGTTGGGTGAAGGCGTCTTTATCAATGCCAACTGCCACATTATCGACACCTGTCTGGTGACGATCGGGGCACGGACCATGTTCGGTCCCAATGTGCACCTGTACAGCGGAACTCACCCTTTGGATCCTGCCTTGCGCAATGGAACCAAAGGCCCCGAATCGGGAAAGGAGATCCATATCGGTGAGGATTGTTGGTTGGCCGGGAATGTCACGGTTCTCCCCGGGGTGACAATCGGAAAGGGTGCAACTATTGGAGCTGGAAGTGTGGTCACAAAGGTACGGATATATTTTCCTCTCCATCCGCCCCCTCTCTTGAACTCTATTGATAATTATGGTGCGCAAATCGCTTAGGATGTCCCTGCTTTCCATTTGGCCGTCGGCAATCCAGCAAGGGTCATTCGAAAGATCCAAACTACAATGGAGGGGGAACCGCCAAGTTAGGCGCTTTGTTTACCAGGTACTTGTCTATCCTGTATACTCTTTAGAAGCTTACATCGACAAATCGTTGGGTTCCATTCTAGATGCACTGCTTCATTGTACATATCCAAGAGACAAAGGCGATGTTTGCGACTCTGATCCTATTCCGGAAGTTCAACATAAGTCCGAGGGTGTAGCTACACTTTAATGTAGTACGGGCATTCATTCATTGCATTAAGGAATGGAGGTGATGCATATGTCTCTAAAGGTCGACATAGCAACAAGACAAAGGGGAATTACGGAGTAACTAAGTTAGAAATCTAGACCCCAACGGGGCCCACTCATCAACAATTATCAATGTATGTACTATGGAGTACTTAGTACTTAGTACTTACTCGGAGTCGTGCACGGAAGCTAGAGCGTGGAATGTTCCTGTGGATCTTCGTTCGGGTGCTTTTTAAGGTTGGGGAAAATTACAGGGTAAAATTAAATACTAAAAGTAGTCCTAAACAAAGGCCATTGATTAGCGGAACGATCCATGTCATTCATTTAAATACTTGTCAAATGCGCAGGTGGAATTTTGTATCCACCGGTCAGTATGAATCATTTATTGCATCAATGCAAGGTGCAGCTGAGACCCTTTGGACCTTGTATACTACTACTACTAATACTAATTACTAAGGTAGTACTTGCTCTGCTACTCATGCTTCAAACCAAGGCTGGCTGAACATCCGGAGAATGAATTAAAGTAAGGGGGAGAGCAGATGCATATCAAGACACAAAGAAGAAGGGGGAAAAAAGAAAAAAGGTTGAGAATTATCTAAGAGTTTCAGTCGCAAAGGTTTGTTCGACTCACGTTCTCGTTCTCATGCCCTAGGTTATGGTTTATTAGAAACCCTCGTGTTAGAAGAGTAGCTTAAGGCATATAATATTAATGATGTCATACTGAATTTATTCTCTATTGTACACCACTTTTGCTTCTTATATCAGATAGGATAACACGTTACCGCAAAGTAGCAACTGTGTTTTGTACCGTACGCATACACGTAGTAAGGTAGTATGTACACAGTCGAAAGTTCCTAGGGTTCCATGAAACAATACTGTTTGTTCTTTTATGTCCATAATACTTGAGAAGAAAAGGAAACTATAGAGTAAGAAAAGAATACAGTGCCTTTTCTTTTTCTTTTTCTTTTCTATTCTGAAAACAATGAAACAATATGCAATATCTCTGTAGCCAAAAGGCCGTGTCCAGAAGGGCCCTTTTTGGTTTGCTGTGTGGCCGCCAAAAATTAAAAAAAAAAAAAATAGAAAAGAACCAACGAGTGTTGAGCTTCTCCACCGCAACGTCAGAGCTATTGCTCTTCTATGGTTCTTTGCTTTGCATATCTTTCCGCCAAACTTTACGGAGAGCTATTCTCTTTCCTTTTATTTTAATTTTTACCCTGGTTAAGTCAACTCACCTTTACACCCCCTCAAGGCTACCATTTTCAGCCTACCTTTAGTTTTCTTTTTCTACCTCCCCTACTGTTACTCCTCATCCATGTTCAGGCCGAGCTGAGCGCTGCGTCCCCGCAAACCAATCATAAATTCTATTTTTTTTTTAACCCGCATCATTCGCCCTTCCTTCCCGTCACTCTTACGACTCTCATCTTTCTCTTTATCATCGCCTCTCTTTCCCTTCTCACTCGTGGCTGCTGGTCTTCCACTGCTTTTTTTTTTGTGGAAAAACTTCGATCATTCCTACACCTTTGACTTTCCTGTAGCTCCCCAGAGAAACACAGGAAAATGTCATGGCAGCTGCCCCGCTAGAGAGCTCTAGCACCCCGCTTGACCCTATATCGACCGACTCGACACGTTCCCCTGGAGATCCCATGGAAGAAAGCGATCCTCAATCTACCCGGAAACGCCCCCGTCTCGACAGTGGAAGTGGCATCCGGCAGCCTTGGTCAAGTAACGAGGTCTCTACTTCTCGATTACCTGAGCGGACTCCGGATGCTCCTGCCACGACTGAACAAGAAGCTCCGACGTCGACCCGCCCGGCTAGCCGAATGACTATCAATACGAAATCTCCAGTCGCCGATAACATGACGTCTATCCCCAAAGATACCCCTGCTGATCGGCCAACCGCCCACTCCCCCGCTCCCTCCGCGGATGACGTCGGCGCTCGTCCCTCCAATGTTATATCCTTGCTATCCTCTCCTGCCCAGAGCCCGGAGATTGAAGTGGCCGAGCTGGAGGACATGGACCAAGATCCAAGTACATCGAATTGGAAGCCGTTGGGCGAAACGTTAGAAGAGTCCGAGGTGGTTCAGCTTCATGAACAAGCGCCTCTCACAGACACCTTCCCAAAGTTCCGCAGCGATCTCGATTTACGAGACAACTTGGAGGAGATCGGCGCTATCATTGAGAAAGGTACGGCAATACCACCGGGTTCATCTGAAGCGGCATGGATTGACTAACTAATTCATTGGCAGGGTCTCCGCCGGAGGCAACACCGTTCTTCCTTGCTGTGAAGAACTGGCTCGATGACGTCGCAAATAACCTAGAGCAGTTGACTTTCGAGGGGCTATTGGACGAGCGGGATTTTTGGGAACAACTTCCTATCATACCAGAGAGTCTACTGCGGAACTCGTAAGTGTCACTAACAACATCCAATTTATCATAAATACTGATGAGCTGTAATAGGCAAGACCTCCAGCCAGATGAAGGCCGGGGGCCTTGGGCATGTCTGGAGGAGTTTTTTCTTAACTATACCCGGCTTGCACTCCATATAGTCCGCCTGGATACCTTAGTCTTGGGCCAATTAATAGAAGACGCAGACCTGCAGGTATCGGACTTAATATCAAGAGCCTATCTTCCTTCACTTGGTTGGATGCTCCAGGTAAATGGTATACCCTTCTTTCGTACTGCGGAAAGAGTCCATGGCGTGGAAGTGATCAACCTGGTTGCTCGTCTGAACGACCACATTCTGGCTCCTCCGTTCAACGTGCTGCAGTGGCTATCTGAATATGCCGCCTGTGTTATGACCTTGATACCCCGTTGGTCCCAACTCTCATCCCCTTTGGTTTCAGTTGTGACTATTGTGCACAACTTGATGGATTCCGGAAACGAGCGGAGAAAGTACCAGGCAGATGATGCCCTAATCAATTCCCTTACCTATTTGCGTGCCATGAAAACGGCTTACAGCCTGATGCGGATCATAGACGAGAATTACCAGATGCATGTAAGCAAGAAGTCCTCCTGGGTCACGAGCGAAGTCAGTGATCCGATGCTCCGTTTCATATCTTGGGTTTACTTCACCATCTCGCTCCGTGGCCAAGACCTGGGCTTGCAGATCGCCAAGGACCTCTCCATTGCCGTACCTGAAGATACATCCTCGGACGAGTGTGCTTCCATAATCTACTACGGGTGGAAATTTGCTGCCCTGAAAAAGCACATCCTGGACGGGCGTATGGAGCTAAGGGTCAACGGAATGGAGACTATGCAAATGGACTTGGTCA